CCTTTGTCTCTCTCTCTCTCTCTCTCTCTCTCTCTCTACCTACCTACCTATTTATCTATCACTTTTTATCGGTGGTATGCCGGCTAAGTCAAATTTAAACTTTTAAAAAACTTTCCCTCCTTCAATGTACCCTTATTTTTTTTAATCTATACTAATAATATAAAGAGGAAATTTGTATTTTTGTATGTATTGAAACCAAATTTTTTAACTATTAAAAAGCTACGTATCAGGGTGAAACATTGGTAATATTTTTAATTATGCTTAATTTCACGCAGAGGAAGTCGCGAGCAACATATTATTAATAATGAAAAGATAATTAACTTTTCCTCACCTCAAACACAACAACAAACGCCAGTCGCGCACCAATAATATGCCAGTACCAGTTAGAGTGCTCGTAGTCGTCACCTTCTTTGTAATACCAGTAACCAGGATAGCTGCAATTAAAAAAAAATTTTAAATACTAACATCATATTAAACACACTAATAATAGTCTGATTTTAAAAAAGTTTCGACCGCTATAGTAGATTAATCGTGGTTCAAATTTAATAGGTAGTAGTAGTAACCTGCACATAGACTGGTTGTACTTGGACTCGTGCGGCGGGTGCTCCAGCACGGTCACGTTGAAGTCCGCCAGCGTGTGGTTGACGTACTGGTTCAGGGAGCCCGTCGAGTACTGGTACACCAGCCGCGGGATGAACTCCGACGTGAACGCTATTATAAAACCCTAAACCAAAACACAACGTCAATTTTGGAAAACCTAAAAAAAACCTTAATTCGACGGAGATTTTTTGCAAAAAAAATATCGTATGTACCAACACACTAAAATGAAAATCTAAGATTCGATTTTAGAGTGATTCTCTAAACTAGTTAATTATCACACTGAACACTACTGAATTAAGGGTTAAGATGCAAATTCTGTAGAATAAATCCTGAATTCTATATTCAGGAACACTATTCGTACTATTTAACTGTAATCATCATTAACAAACAAAATATCCCGGCTCGAAGGACCAAATCTTCTTTTCAGGCATTTACGAATCTATTAAGCTTATCAATATAATAATATAGTGCAATATTTACAAAAAAAAAGCATACATTTACATTTATATTCAGCAATTTCTATTGTTTAGTTGTAGCCATTTAGAGCCTGTCCCACCACTGGCTGATAGAGGCTCAGATAGCTTAAAAATAACTTCACGGTCAGATAAGGTAACAAAATCCGATATTTCCATCACATCTTACACGTTGGAGTGTTATCAGATAATTAAGAATTTGGTGGGACAGGCCCTTAGTGTACGTATACGTTGACTAACGTTGGTGATGACGCTGAGTTTGCCGATAGAGTCGAGGATGCGGTACCAGACGCCGATGTCGGTGACGCGCTGCGGCACGGGCCGCCGGTAGCACGTCAGGAACTTCTTAGCGTCCAGTCGCATCTCCAGCACGTTGTTAATGAGAGCGAACAGCGGCGCCAGCGGAAACGCAGCCACGAATATCGTCACGAAACCGTACTGTAATACTGGAATTAACAACGATTTTAATTATAAAAGTGTGCTATTATCTCTACTAATAATAATATAATCTTACTAATATTATAAAAGCGAAAGTTTAGATGGTAAATGGATAGATGGATGGATGTTTGTTACGGTTTGTAGCCTAAACGGCTGAACGGATCTCTATGAAATTTGGCGCAGATTTAGAGCATAGTCGGGAAGAACACATAGGCTATTTTTATCCCGGGAATAGTTACCGTTCCCGTGGGATACATTAATTGTTTTTTAATGTTTACTCGATCATTCTGCAACGGTTCAACATATCTTATTGAAATTTGGCACAAATATAAAACAAAGTCTGAAGTACACATGGGATACGCTTCATCCCTGAGAAATGTCCGGTTTCCGAGGGATACGTAGCTATTTGTAATTTATATAGTTCGTATGTTTTCTAATACTACGCGGACAAAGTTGCGGACAACAGCTCGTAATATAATAAAGCGTAAACACACTTCTTTTATTAAAATGTCATCGATCACTGCATATTTTTGAATAATTCTTTTTTCGTAAAAATTACTACTTACGATATGCTATATATTGTCACGCCTTTTTATTAGGGCTGAATAATTTGGAAAAAGTTGTCGTGGTGGTAAACTTACCCATTTCAAGATACTCAGGGAAGAGACCCATATTTCCAAAGTCGACTAGCTTGAAATCCTTCACCCATTGTATTGGACTTTTTATTCTGCAAGCGATAAAATAATGTTACACTTAGCACAAACAATATTTAAAAGAAATGTACTAAGAACCGTGAAAGGTTAAAAATCAGTTACTTGTTTTTCCTTCCGATGGTGCGTATGATGTTCCACCACTTGAGCAAGTAGGGCATCAACATCTCTACCACGGTGTTGATGAACTGCTTCCCTACCATGATGATTGCCAGCTGGATAGATAATTCTAGAAGACAGCCTCCCGGAGCACACTTAATATCACAAGAAATAAAAATTTATATCATAAATGTCTTTCTATTAAAATTTTATTTATTTACAAGGCTTTTTATTGACATGACAATCATACTTTATACTATCATGCTAACTAATATTATAAATGTGAAAGTTTAGATGGATGGATGTTTGTTAGAATTTGTAGCCTAAACGGCTGAACGGATTTCGATGAAATTTGGCATAGACGTAGAGGATAGTCTGGAAGAACATATAGGCTACTCAGTTTTGTTTTTTTTTTATTCCAAGCGGACAGATTCGCGGGCGAAAGCTAGTTTTACATAAAGTTTACATATTTTACGGTAATTTAGTATAGAATGTCACAACCCCTATTGGATAGTCTTCCTCCAGTAACTATAAAAATCACAGAGCCAAAAATCATGTGTTAATTTAATAACCATTAGACTATTGGCAAATGTATCAGATTGTTTATTTATCTCAAATACCGTCTTATTAAAACATACCTCTTCTTGTCTATGTCCAAACAGCCTCACATAGTCCCCAGGCCGGCCAATAAACTTGCCCTTGAAGAAAGCGATGTAGAATATAGAAGCGTAATAGTTAACGAACTGTAGAAGATATATCTTGAGAGTCAGCGAGTCGTCGAACTCTGTTTGTGTTCGCAGGAGCTCTTTTTCCGTCAACCATTCCGCTAAGTACTGGTACACCTAAACAAAAAAAATCATACTTTATATTAAATATGAAAATGTGGATGGATGAATGGATGTTTGTTACTATATATCTCTAGAACAGATCAACGGATCTCACTGTCTCACTGTCTCGCGGTCCAAACCTAGTTTTTGTATAAAATATTCATTTTCTATAGAAATGACTTTATTTTAATTTTTTGGTCCCTCGAGCCGCCTACCTTAAAGGATTAAAGCCGTAGTAATAGTCGTCATATGGTTTTTTAAGAGTTGTTTCAATGAGTTAAGCACATAAGTTTTAGTTAAGAACCAATTAAGGACTTGAATACTGTAGATTTTACTGTCAAATATCATAAATGTAAAAGTTGAGATGGATGGATGCTACTACGTATCTCCAAAACTCATTGTATCTCGAAATACATACATAATTAAATATACAGATGAACACAAGATTGATACAAGCTGCGGTAGCTGTGGTGAACATGATCGGGTTTGACGTGATGAGGTCCTTATCATTCCGTCGCAGTATGCTGGCTCCGAGCAGCGACATGCGGTACAGCACCACGCCCAGCACCGTGGCCAGCGCCAGCAGCACCAGCAGCGCCACCACGCTGAACGACATCAACGTGGCGGGGAGACGCATGCGCCAGTAGGGTACAGTCGGCTCACGTACTCCCGTTACCACGTTCAACTGGTGAAGGATTCTAGACTTTATTGTCTTAGTCATATGGTTCAAATTAATTTACATTTAATAGAATTATGGTAGAAGACAGATGTATCAATATAATTTTATAAAGAGGAAATATTTGTGTTTTTGTATGTTTTGAGATAACTTAAAAACAACTGGGTTGATTTCAAAAAGTCTTACACCATTAAAAAGCTACATATCAGTGAGTAACATAGTCTGTATTTTTTTCTATATTTTATTTCCACGAGGACGAAGTCGTGAACAACAGCTCGTTTTTATTAATTTGATCTTTAGTTGTTTTTCTTTGTACTTTTACAGTCAAATGTTTTTAAATACATCCTATTAACGATTGATTGAATAGTTTATTAATTACCTGTGTCCTCTTGACGTGAGCTAAACGAGCCAGGTACTGCGGCCGGGGATGTTCCTCGTAAACATCGAAACCAGTCAGGTCCCATCTGTGAGTCATCTCAGCTGAGTAACGCTTCCACATCTCTAGGAAACATGCCGCTGGGAATAAAAACATAATTTACCATTACATAAACCCATTTTATTTTTACTATAAAAAAATATATAACCACTTCTAGAAGTCATAAAAACTTGTTCGTGATGTGTTATGAATTTTGAAAAAATGTATTTATCTTTATTTCCAAGATTTTATAAGTGAAATTGAAATAAAAAAAAACGCACGCTACGTCAGGCTGAGCGAGCGAGCAAACGATATATTAGTGACTTTCTTTATCCTTAACAAGATACAGGAACGTGAAGAATAAAACCGATATTTAACATCTGGTCGATCGGACCATTGATTTTTCCCATTGAGCCAATCAAATCCATCCAAAGGGAATAAAATAGCCAAAAAACTGAACGGCCCAACGGGAAACACAATAATACAAATGATCTACTTACCCCAGAAGCTCATAAAGATGGCAAAGAAGACAGTAGTGGAATTATCAAAGAGGTAGGTAATTCTTGACTGCAAACACGTGTCCCGTAAATCCCAGTACTCGCAGAAGTAATCACATAGCGGACACATTTTAATATTTGACGCGTAATTACATATATCTTCACTAAAACAAACATCAAAATTATAATAAAATAAACATATGTATTATTAAACAGTTTAATATGAACATTTCATTATTTACCTTGGTTTGTTGGAATATACCGTAGCAGCTGAATATATGACGCATATAAGGCCAACTATAGACGCGGGAATCAACATATGCGTATAAAAACCCAACCAAGCGAAGTACAGTCCTATAAAAATGGATTTAAAAATAGAATAAAATTACGATGACACAAGGAACAGATAGTAAAAAGATTCATACCAATTTTAACTCCAAAGTAATCCTTGACGTAGTCTAATGGTTGGTATTTGATACATTTCGATACACTCGCCCACTCCGTGTATAGCAAATGTCGCATCGAACCGGGAGTTTTCAAATCACCCTTAAAAAAACATTGAAGAATTAAAAAATAGGTAAATTAGGAAAAGTCTTAACGTATCTCGACGAAATTTAACACATATGTAGAACATAATTAATTCACATGGGCTAATAACAAAGGTTTTTTTTAATACTTTTTTTCACTAATAACCATTTAACAATTCTTAGGGCCTGTCCTACCACTGGCTGATAGAGGCTGAGATAGCTTAAAAATGACGTCACTGTCAGACAGAGTAACAAAATCCGATATTTCCATCACATATTTTAAACGTTGGATTATTATTTGGTAGCACTGACTCTTAGTAGTTTAAAAGTACTTACATCGTGTAAAGGATATGCTGCACTATAAGTATTGTAGGATATGAGACGAGCGATACCGAAAGCAAAATCATCATTCTGTCGCTCAGAGAATCGTTTGCGATCCAGTATGAACTGTACGATGCGAGATCGTATCGACGGAGTCCAGAAACAATCCGACGCTGTATCAAATCTGGAATTACGAAACAAGTTTAAATTCAATCAACATTACTTTAATATTAAAAAGCATTATACACTTGTGTGTGCAAATATGCCAATATTAAACAGTCTAATTCTTGGTCCTTCGAGTCGGATAAAGAAAAAACACATTTTCAATAACATTTATTAAAGCAAATTATATATTACAATTACTTACAAGTACTCTTTATCTTTTGAGTATATAGCTGTGAGCCGATGCTTTCTTTCTGGGAACATCTTGTGGTCGACTCTAATCTTCGACATGAAGCGGTCCCAGCAAGCCTGGATACGATCTAACAGAGTGTTCGTCTTCTCATGCACGTCTCGTAATGCTGAAAACTAGAAAACACAACTTTATTGCTATACAACAGGGTTCAATTTTGATTGCAATTAATAATTGCCTGCATATATTAAACAAAAAGACGTAAGTCCGACATCAACTTTCGATAGAACAATTTTTTGACGGTACAATATTTTGTTATTAAAACAATTAGAAAATATTCATGCTTGCCACATTGAAGGTGATATCTGTATTATAAAAATTACAGTACAATGTCATAAGACATCTATTACAATTATTTCCTTGTAACTGTGAACAATGGACACGAAAACCCGTATACAACAATGACCATGCAAAACAAGTAAAACCACAAAGGATTGACTCATGACCGTTTTATAAAGATTATTTTCAACTGTAAAACTTATTTTTTATTTTCGTTTTTAATGGACACATATTAATGTTACAAATCTCTACGCCAATGTTTTGACATTTGTTTTCGAGTTCTCTCCATTCGTTTCCGTCAGATGAACTATTTAAACACAAAATTGTATATACTAAGCGTGTGCTTCATTATTCCAAAGCTAGTGCGTACTGTATTCGATGGTAAATCGCTTCACCAATGTACCGATACAAAAAGGATATTTATTAAAATTTATGGAAAATCTATACAAAAACATAGACAAATATTTTAGGGATATAACAATTTTGAACCTACACATATTCGTAGATTCATAACATTTAGTAAGGTTAGGTTATTTACCTATACTGATACGCAAAATGCAAAATTTATTGTAAATAATGAAATATTTTAGTCTCTAACGGAAGAATATAAATCTATGCAGGAAACATGACAGATGAAAGAGTCGCAACTAACCATTCTTGATAGTTATTTTGTAATATTTTTTGTGTATTTTCTATACAAAATGAATAAAGCATTCACCGTCTTATTGTGAATATTTTAAAGCAATGATATGACAGCGTCGAAACACGCGCAACCCGCCATAGGCAAAGCAATCGAGATTTGAAAGTTATACTTTATTCCATGGTTTTAGGTGCAATTTCGTTTATCCATAAAATATTATTATAACTTTCATCTCTTTAATGCGCGAAATTACGACAAACTACTAAAAGCAAATAAATTAATACATGCGTATAAATATACTATAGTACTACTCAATCTACGTCAGTTAACTATAAAACTAAATGATCGTGTAAGTTCCATTACCAAACAAAAATATTGTCGTCTCTTTCATTTTGGTTGAGAAGAAGAAAACAAAATACGTTTTATACGTTTGGCAATGAAACTTTAGTAGCCAGTAGAACTAATCCAACATGCAAGTAAAACATTTGAACACGGTCATAAAACCAATTACATTCGCCAATAAATTGTTACCAGCCACCAAAATAGGAATAACTAATAACTAAACAAAAGCGATTAATTTGTATGTACTACAATAAAAACTCATCTATATAAATGTTATATGAAAAATTACAGATCATAATTTTTTTAAATCATAATCAAAATATTACAATATCAAGTTAAGAACCTACATATAGTTAAATGTGATTAATATCGACATTACACATTATTGAAACTGTTAAATTGTTATTTAGATAATTAGATAATCTATTGCCCATTTGCAACCGAGTTATTTCTATGTCACAGCCATAGTTTACTAGAAGCGCCTTGTTAGCAAGCGAGCGGGCGCGGTTGATACGACATCTGCATACCTTCGACATATACATGGCGGCATTCAGTATTGCATTCGTCCTCCCACTTTTTCTTATTTTACTGCAGTCCTATGAACGTACAGAAATTTAAAAAATATATTGTTCGTGTGTTAAGCACAAAATGCTTGTGCCAAGTGCTTGTGCTGTTTCAATTTTAATTAAAAATGCAATTAAAAATTACTAAATATAAAATATCGATTCGTGCTATGCGCGACGGTGTCATGATTAATTTCAAAACAAACTTTTTATTTCCATTAGTAACAAAGTTGTAACTATTTACACAAATGTCGCTTCCATAGGATTCAAATCTTGAATATTACAAAAATAACATGAAATTCGATTCCTAACCTTTTTTTAAATGATTCATGAATGCAAAAATAAAATTGTACTTTCTATAAATTAATACATCTACTACATAACATGTATCTAACGTTAATTGTCAAAGAAAAGTGAAGCTAAGGGTCCCACCGATGACAGAAGCCAAACACAATCCTGCAGTAACTTAGTACACCGACATACAAAGTTAATAAAACTCTCCACATACCTTCATTGGCATCCGAAGTTTTAATATTTCACTATAGTCCTTTAAAACTGTTAGAGGAGCATGTATCTAAAAAACAAACACAAAAATTAAATACCAATTAAAATCTTTAACCACAAAAATATCTAAGCAAGTAATCCATTTACTAGGGGACCTAGCACAAAAATTTGTCAGAAAGCGTTCTTATCAACGTAAAAAAATATATATAAGATTTGAGGAACGACAAGCAGCAAGCAACAAAGATTTAGATAAATTTCATAGAAATGTTGTTGGTGGCGATACAAATATGATGTCGGGAATTTTCGTGCTACAGCCTCTATTTCATCATTCTTTCGAAAGGCTACGAATTAGCTATAATGCACAAATGTATAATTTATAGCAACAAATCTTCAATAAATACCTTAACAAAGTGCAATCCATGCAAGTTTTCCGGTGCCTCCCTCTCCAACTGCAGGCCCTCTTTCTCTAGATTCTCCTCAAATATCTTTCTCTGCTCGAAGGCTTCGGGTGTAGTAGCGTCCTCCTTGCCCGCCTCCCACACCAGCACGAAGTCCACCGTACGCACGCCATCGTTGAAGCTTAGAGACGGGTTGTTTAATATACCACCCATCACTATCCTGGTTATAAAGTAAATGATAATCATATAATAATATTTGGATTAAAATTGAGCTTGAGACGTTAAGTGGTCTCTTTTAGTATTGACTTAGACTTCCTTAGTAACCAGTTAACTACTCGATGTGCTATTATTCTATACAATTTTTTTAATCTTTTTTTTAATACGTTTCTTATTGTGCTTGATTCCATTATTATTATAAACTATGAAATTAATTATCAATTGATTTCTCTTATATTGTCATGTTATACTTTAGTACGCTTGAATTACAAAATTAGTTATTTTAAAGGTGTTTTCGGAACATTCCAAATGTGTTAATATATGTGATTATATCATGCATATAAAAGATTAAATACCAAACATTATTCCGCATAACAAACATCTGAATTGCACATAAAACAAGAACAGACATGACCAACATACAAAATAACATATATTTACAATTGCCAACATTATCCCTTTTTGTTACACAACAATTGCAAGACGAACGAAATGTAAATAACCTTCTCCCATTCCCCATTTTTCTCTTCTCTGATGTTAAACCATTACCATGGCTTGCAGATATTTTCGTAAAACCGTTGACCCTCGAATAACTAAGGAAAAAGTTACTAATTAATTTTAATTAAAACTTGTATTAACCCTGCATTATTTTATTTCGATTTATTTAATATACTAATAGTACTTTATAGAAATATGTAAAGTAACTCAAATTTATCAAATTGTAATCTAGTAGGAAATATACTCAATTGTACCAAGTCTATTATTAATTGCAAAAATAATCGTCACTCAAATGACTTATGAATGCAAATAAAATGATCAATGAACTAGAAACGAACATAAATATCAATTGAACAATCAATGGTGTCGAATAATTGTCTTTTTGACAATAAGGCCAATTGTTTTTTTATTAAGTTAAAAAAAACTACACGCTTTAGTTACGTCCTGATAAAAATCACCATGCAATTGAGAGATTGAAATGTTTTCTCCCAATATAAAATGTAATTCAATCAAAACTACGTTATTTTCTAAATAACATACAAAATTACAAACATGCTAAATGATAAACTGTACTAAATGAAACGTCAAAATAACTATGCAAAAAAAAACGATTTGTTTTGTCAATTGGTCAAAACATGTATAAAATGATAGGATAACGGTGGTATGCTAATTGGATCAAATGTCTTAGCAAACATTTGTTTGTTGGCCAAACGTGTTACTTACGAGCAATGATTGGCCACGGGTTTGCCATTATTGTTGGAGGGGTCGAGGTGAGGTTGTGCGGGCTCGCCGCAACCGCACTCTTCCGCGGCTCGGGTCGAAGCTTCGCTACCGTTGTCTCTGAAATTATTCGTTTTATATACGGCCAACTACGTTTTATAAATTTTCCGATTAAAAAGATATCCTAATGTTGCATCAGCAAACGGACATATCTGTCAAAGATTAAACGCCGACACAGAACAATGCAAAATACATAATATGGAGTTCGGGGGTTATATACCAAATGTTTTAGTACAACATTTATGTATGCAGTTTCACGCACTGGACAAGATTGTGAACATTCCAGGCTGCTACGATCTTTTAGTATGAAAGTGATTTATCGATCACAACATGTGAATAGAATTCACAATTTATAGATTTACGCAAATCAACAACGACTATTGTTTTGAAAACAGGAAAAACCGGAGCAGTTACGATGGGAAAAATAAACCCACATTTATGTTGCAGTATCTTCTACGTCAGATCTACATAGAGCATCTTATACATCTTACTAACATTATAAATGTGAAAGTTTAGATGAATGGATGTTTGTTAGAGTTTGTAGCCTAAACATCTGAACGGATCTCTGTGAAATTAAGCACAGGTTTAGAGCATAGTCTGGAAAAACACATAGGCTACTCACCTTTGTTTTTTTTATTCAACGCAAAGTCGCGGGCGAAAGCTTATCGTGAAATACAAAAAAGGATGTAAAAGACATCCTTACCACTAATAACTTTTACGTTATTAATTTCTAGCATATACTTTTCTCTTACACGCCATTTCATCCACAATTTAATCTGGAAAACCTTTGCACATATTAATAATTTATTAGTCTACGTTTGAAAAGCTCTGTAATGCGAAGTATGATAACAAGTGAATAACAGTCAATATACACGTGATGTCATATATTAGCGTCTAATAATAGACTAGGTTAACGCACTGCTGCTACAGATTTACTATCTGCTGCATTCTTAAAAGGAAGCTATTTATTAACATACTAATAAATATCTTGATATTTTAAATAATCTGGATCAGGATATCTGAATACTATAAGAGTAGGTTTATCAGTAGCTCTAGGCTTTTAAATAATTGTAGTCTATCATAGCATATAAAAATAACGCGTTATATATAACGAAATTTTATAGCTTAAATTATAAACCAGTTTAATTAAAAATATCATTGGTTTCGGCGTTAAAAACATTACATATCTACAAGACCGGTACAACGTGTAAAAATTGTGCGTCTAAAGTTGGTCACTTTATTAATTAGTGCTATGTTGTGCAAACGTGAAGTTTTAAGTCTACATAAATGTGTCTTTAAACGCTTATCATTATTAACAATATTAGATTTAAATATTGTACAATTTTCCGATATATATAGTTTCGTAATACTTCATGTTTAGACTATTAAAAGTCGCATAATAAATTAGTGACGGTAATTACCGCGCCCTTATATGACAAAACATCCTTTGGGAATATAGTAGTAAGTTATTAATGGTGTGTTGTATTAGTGAATAAAAATAAGAAATAAACTCAATACATTGTTTATGTAAATGTAATTCATTAATAGGTTACGTGAAAAAATATTATGACGAATTTGTAATAAAAAGTCTCCCACACAAATGACACAAACGCACACTCAATCGCATTCATAAAAAAAAACACTTGTTATGGATATAAAAGAGATAAATTCGTATCTCATTCTTGAAAAAATCTATTTATATTCTTAAACTCGAGTAAAAACTTGTCTAAAGTGACAAACTCTTTACAAACTTACAATTACCTCTTTTATACCATAAAAAACTTTTATCAACAGCCCGTTAGTAAGAGAACGTTAACAACATCAACATGAACACATTGACAGACAAACAAACACAATGTTAAGCACGGGACAACACAGCAAACATCTAAACTCACCGATCAGTGTTCATATCCTGCGACAGATTGTCCTGGTACGTACTGAGGACGGACATGGCCTGAAGGTCGGCCATCTTCTCCTGCGTCTCCTTCTCCGTCTGCTCCAAACAGGAAGAGAAAGTGTCAATCTCTTGCTGAAGTCGCACCGAACTAAATATACTAAAAAACTCATATCGTCAACCACACAAACATCCTTGGCTTCGTTATACCACCAAGTCAATGACATTCATGTGCACAGATAACGAAAAAAAAGGTCGTTTACGCCGTACTTTGTAGCCGCGTCTCGCGTGCGTTCTAAACACTCTCTGAGTACCGGCATCGTAAATAACGTAACGCAGCACTTCGATAAAAGACCTAGCGATCATCGTCTGCGCTCGAGCCGCGGCAGTGGACTGCGGAGGCGACTAGAGGCGAGCTCACGCGGCCTTGGTCGTTTCACACTGAAAATCCGACTGATTCACCTGTGTTTGATTAAGATTCTCGAGAGCTAAACTGCTGCGCCTTAAAACGTTTCACGACGTTCTCTCACTTCGAGCACTGTATTAACCGAAACACTCCAAACTAATTAGCAAATTAGTTAAAACATTTTAATAAATTAACCAGTTACACAAGACACATTCGTCGTCTCGCAGGCTTAGCGACATACTGTATAATGTTTGCTTTTGTGTTAGATTAGCTACTTGCAAAATGATATGGACGTTTAAAATAAAACTTATCGCGTTTTACATTACATAAAACATACAAGTAATATAATAGCGAAGTTGATGGATAGGGTCGAATCCTGAACGTTCAATGACTTTCTCTACAAGGGACTTAATTTTAAGATAATGTAAATAATAGTTTCTGCACCTATCAGGTCAAATAGAGTTCAACAAATTTAATTTACCTTATCTATCCATTACATGGTGTACTGTCAAACAAAAGGTACATGTTTGACTCATATCCTCAAACAATGGAAATGACGTCGCATATGCAAATAATATAAATTCGTCAGTAGGTAGCAAACACTGCACAAACTAAACTTTTTAAAGAGTACAGACAGCCTTAGGCGGTAGTTATCTTTATGAGACTACCTCAAGGGTGTTTATTTGCATTTTAATTACTGTAAAGTTACGCTATAAGCACCAATACCTAGTAAATGCTTGGAATTAAAAAAAACTATCACAACTTACTAACTACGAAAATCTACATGTTACTAAATCTTTAGTAGTTTTTTTTTAATCAATTGGTCACCTTAAAATTGGTAAAATTTCTTGAACAGAAAAATTAAGTGCCAGTAAAGACTATTGTTTTGTTTGAAAATTGTCATTAGATATTGTGCTACTGGTATTAGGGTTTAGTATGAATGCTGTGTTATAAGTAAACATTGTTCCCTAAATAAACTAATTAATTACTACACTAATTACATTTTAATGAGTAATTATAAAATAAATTTCAATGTCAAACTTGTAAATATGAGTAAATAAGAAAATTCTCTTAATTACCATAATTATGAAATAAATTTATTTATGTAACTATTCACAACAATAATAATAAAACTAAATAACATTTAAATTAAAATAATGCTATTAAAATATTTAGAACAATTGTGTAAACATTGAAAAAAAAGACGAGAAAATATAAAACTGGTTTGACTTATTCTAGGCTAAATAAATATTGATCAAATAAAGACAATTTTACTCTGAATCTTAATAAAGAAAACTTAAGATTGAAATTTATAAATCTCCAATCCTTTGTTTATTCAACTTGCACTTTAACATTTTACGACATTAAACAATTATTAAAAATAAATAAAAAAAATATTTAGTAAGTAACTTTAATGTTTGAGTGAAGCCAAAAAAAAACATTTGTTTTTAATAATATTTTTGCAACTAGTCATGACAGTAATACTGTAGAAGTACTAACTAATATTGCTACTAGATGAAAGTGATTCCTTTATATATAAAAGTAAAGCACACAATGTTAAAGTAACTACATAACAATGTACTTAAGGAGAATGAGATTCACTTTGTAACTCTCCAGGGGGTATGTAGGATTGCATTATTTCATTAGTTATAACACACTATATTATTCAAGTAATGTTTGCCTGAATAAACATTGTTTATTGGTTACCTATCATTAATTAAATATGTAACAAAAACCCAACTGACTAAAAATGATTTAGAAATGATAGAAATTATGATTGCAGTTTGAATTTGATTTTTTCAACATTTTTTATATTTCAATTCTCTACTTTACTTATTTTGTTCTTTATTGTTCAGTTGTTTAGGCTCTAGAGCATAGCAATAGAATTCTGATAACTAAAACCTGGATGCAAAAAACTGAACCACTTTATCAGTTGAGTTAAAGGAAAATAATAATTTAACATCATCCCTAAATCTATACTATTATAATAAAGTGTAAACACACACTTCTTTGTTGCCTAAGATGTCAAGAATTACAGCATATTTTTGAATATTTCTTTCTTTAATAAAAAGCCCTACACTTATGTCACGATTTAAGCTATATATTTCCACGCTATTAAACTTAGTAGGTAAATATTTTGGATAAAAGCTCTAATGTGGGAAAGTGACCATAAATTGCTGCCAACATCAAGGAACCAAGATTGCCAAGTTTCATGTCATGTCATTTTGACATTTGCTAATGATAATTTGACAAATGCAAACAATAAAATAAAAATTTCATAATTTCACGCAGATGAAGCCGCATGGGAACAGCTAGTGGTAAGATACAAAAATATTAAATGCTATAGAGGGCTAATAATTGGAATTAACTATTGTCTTAGAGGACCACATTTTGTGGAAGGCATTTGGAAAACCTATGTCCAGCAGCGGTAAGATAAAAGCTGAAGATGATGCATAATGATGATTGTCTAAAAACAGCATATTAACAATTATGAGACAGCATTTTGGTAATCATTAGAAATTACTAGAAACATCTTATCTACTAATAGCACTATTAAATGTTGTTTGCAAAGCTAACATAATGCAAGGCTTTATTGACCAATGATGTCATCATTTTAGTCTTTAGAGTTTCAAATGGAAATAACGCCAGCTCTATAGTATCATAGTCACATTTTAATGGACTTATCTAGAACTAGCTGGCAATGTTACTCACAGATAAATTTGCTTTCTAATAGTGAAAGGCCAGTAATTTTTGGAGTAAAACTTTCCTCTAATTAATATTAGTAGATAATTGTAAAAATAAAACTTTGGGACATTGGACTAAAGAAATAATGATTTACTCAAGTTCTGTCTGTAAGTATCAACAAATTTCAAGTCTGTACAAAGGTCTGTCCAAATTAGTTACGATCCTGCTGACCATAAACAGTTCTACTAAATCAATAACTAGTTGAAAAAGAGTTAGGTTCACAAAAGAGTATTGACTACATAGCTATGATGGTATTGTTAAGAATGTAACTGGATATTCACCCAATTCTAAGCTGTATATTTTTAAATCATGTATTGATTAACATTTTAACTCATGTATTTATATAATTTATTGATATTGGTAACTGAAATAAAATAATATGATTTTAACTTACTGAGTGAAAGTCTCCAGCTCCATCTTCGAATAGCTCTTGGAACGCGAGTTCATTTCTTTGTGCGTCAGACAGGAAGGATTCAGTTTCTGTAGCGTCTGATCTCTTATGCTGTAACTTTACACCGCCAGCGAAAATTGGTGTCGATATCTTTGGCGTAAACACATTCTCTTCAGGTCTTTCCAGTAGAGGCTTTGGTACGTCTTCTTCGAGAGATGGATCACCGTCAGACATTACTTATACGTTTATTACAATACTAACAGCTCACAGTCATTATACGAACTCGGACTTTTCTCTTCCTGATTCTATTAGTCACCAAACTGAGGCTAATGGTACATTGCACGATCTTTCATCTAACGGGGTGATTAGATAATGTTATTTAGAAGTTAAGTTAATTATCAGCACGGAATTTAACAACACGATCATTAAGAAATTGAACTTAACAAAACGATGATAAAGAAATAGAAAAATCGGAGGAATTAATGAACGGCTAAAATGAGATGAGAGATGATCATAAAATGACATACAGCAAAGTGACAATCAATTGACATTGACACAAAAAAATTGTAACAGATTGTAAAAAGTACAACTTTTAGATAGCTGGTTATCTTTAGCCTTAATTTATTCATTAAATGGGAAATATTGCTTAATTCCATAACAAGCTTTTTTTGTAAAAGGTTTTTTTAATTTATTTTTTAAAGAAAGATAATGTACAAAATAAGGCAATGGGTGTATTCACCTTTACAATTATGCCACGCCGCTCACAAACTGTCATCGACGTCAATGCGTCAAACAATCTTCTTAAAGCTAGCTTTGAATAAGAGTATAGGTTGCCGGCGAAATTATTTTCATTTATTTGCAGTGCAAACTGTCTCAGATAAAATTTATGTTATGATTAACCATTCCCATTAAATAAACTGCATTCAACATGACCGTGGAAACCCAACCTAGGGCAAAACTGCCATACCTATCCTCCGATAAACAGCTCACGTTTATAAAATTGGCTGTTTTATCGATGGCAGCAATCTTATGTAAGTTATTTAATTGGTAATTTTATCTCTTAACAAACTTTAAATAGCGCTTAATACATTATTATTAAAAACTTGCATTACTACTAATTCTTTGCCTGTTCCAAGTTAGTCATGGTACCGCACCATTATGTTATTGGTGTTCCAGTCATTAAACCCGACAATTCACATGTATGTTTATTTAACTAAAATTTAGATTTTCAATATGTAAATCATTTATAAAATAACCTTAGCAATTTGATATCTATTTTCATATTTTTTAAACAATGTAAACAGACTGTGGTTCCTGTGTTCTGTTGCTTTTTTCTGAAGTAATCAATAAATATTGATGTAGCACTATAAACTTAATTTTAATATTGCAATAATATTTTTTACAGCATTTGCAACTAGGCTATTTTCGGTTCTTCGTTTTGAGAGCGTCATCCATGAGTTTGATCCTTATTTCAACTATAGAACAACTCGCTACCTTACTGAGGAGGGTTTCTACAACTTTCACAATTGGTTTGATGACAGAGCATGGTATCCGTTAGGGCGTATTATTGGAGGTAAGTTTCAAATAATACACCTTTCTTAGTATATATCCAACTCATTTAAAACAAGTGATTACTATATGTGTATTAATTTCTACATTCTATGATTCTATTAGTTTTAACAACAACAAGAATATAGTATTTCAATTATTTTAACTTTTTTTTTTTGAAGTTTTTTAAGCTAGCGCTTGACCCAGTCCCACCGACTGAGAGTGTCTCAGTAACTTAAAAGTGAAAAAGTGTACATCTCTATTAAAGACACAGCACATCCACAGGTTTTCTGGTGTTGCAAGTACCATAGGCATCTGATCAATTAATATTATGCAATTTTCTGCTTTTTTATCTTCTCTATAAAGATATTATTTTACAGGCACAATATACCCCGGCTTGATGGTGACATCAGCCACACTTTACAATATTATGCAGTTCCTGAATATCACAATAGACATTCGAAATGTCTGTGTCTTCCTTGCGCCATTCTTCTCATCATTAACTACAATTGTCACATACCTGCTGACTAAAGAACTTAAGGTAAACAATTTAATTTAACTCATTTTTTAACAAATTTACCCTTAGTTGAAGTGTATGGGCTTGATTTTCCTCAACTCTCGTAGTTAATACTACCATCATATGGTAAACCTACTGTTGTTTAAATCTAGGTTTGATGTGTGTTTTGCTAAAATAACAGAACGGACACATAGTTAATGACATAAATGGTATTAGGAAAGGGCCTGGTTTGGCAATTTCAGCTGTGAGGGAGTCAAATTCAGCTAATAAAGTCTCTGCTTAACCCCAAGTATGGGCTCAGGGATGCTATAGATTTTGCCCAGGATGCTTGTAAAGCCGAAACTGGCAATGGTTATTACAAAGATAATAATTGATCTACAAGTATACTATTTGATAAATAAAGCAAATCTATCCTTGTGATTTCAAAGTTAATAATTTATTCCATAGGATGAGGGTGCAGGCTTAGTTGCAGCAGCAATGATAGCTATTGTACCAGGCTACATCAGTCGTTCAGTCGCGGGCAGTTACGATAACGAAGGCATTGCGATATTCTGCATGTTGCTCACATACTACTTCTGGATAAAAGCAGTCAATACGGGAACCATTCTATGGGCAACATTGACTGCCCTTGCATATTTTTACATGGTAAGTATTGTAAAATTACGTAGTTTCTTTGTTTTTAATTTTGATTGAGTATTTTATTTGGATTGCTGTTTAAAGTCAATAAATGGGGATCTTATACCAATCATAGATCAATAAGGTGAAAGTTTCACACTGATAAGTATTATACCTTATCTGTTTTTGCACTTTCGCACATTTCATTTGAAACTAACTTTCGCTATCTCTGTCCGGTTGGAATTTAAAAAAACAATGAGTGGCCTATGGGTTCTTCCGGACTACCCTCCACGTCTATGGCCAATTTCATGTAGATCCATTTAGTCATTTAGGCTACAAACTAACAAACATCCATTCATCTATCCATATAAACTTTCACATTAATAATATTAGTATGATTTTTAAAAATTTTAATTCCTAAGTACCTTGATATCAATTAAATTATTTAAACTTTCGTGAGACATTTTATAATTAATTTTTTACGGCTTACTCACGTATACTTTTCTTTTTCTGGTGACGGCACCGACCAGTTTCAGACCCTGCGGGGGTCCTTCTTCAGCTTCATCGCGTTCGTGCGATACGTACTTAACCCTCGCCCTGAAGAAGGATCCCCGCAGGGTCTGAAACTGGTCGGTGCCGTCACCGGAAAAAGAAAAGTATATGTGAGTAAGCCGTAAATAATTAATTACCTTGATATCATTCTCTATTATAGAGGTTTCTAATTTCTCCAGTAACTTAGAGGCTTATAGAAGTTTCTAATTTATCCGGATTCAAATATTTTTAATCTACTGTAATGTTTCTACATACACAATTTACAATTCCAGGTGTCCTCATGGGGTGGTTATGTGTTCCTAATCAATTTGATCCCACTCCACGTGTTAGCGCTGATGTTGCTCGGTCGTTTCTCCGCACGTGTGTACGTGGCGTACAGCACACTGTACTGTGTCGGCACTATACTCTCCATGCAGATCTCATTTGTTGGCTTCCAACCTGTACAGAGCTCGGAGCATATGTTGGTAAGTTTTAGATGTGTAAGTTATGTATATTAAGATGGGATGTGATAAGAAGGGATAGAGTTACAAATGTTATTAAGATTTGTAGTTTTTTGTATTAATTGGGATAATTCAAAAACTACTGGGCTAATTTAAAAATACTTGCATCATTAAAAAGCCAATTTACCAGTGAATAGCATAGGCTTTTTTCTACTTCTTTAATTTAACGGGGACGAAGTTGCGAGCGACAGCTAGTATTACCATAGACTACGTAAATGGTTTGGTGGAAAAGTGAAATGTAACGGTATTGTAGAATTTGTAAAAAAATAGGAACTTGAAAGGAGCACCAATAAAGGAGAGATTATCACATAAGCAAGAAAGTATTAAAATGACATGAGACTGGCTAAAAAGGTAGTGGAAGACAAAATGGAGGAATTGTGTGTAACAGGAATTTACCTTGGGAATACTATATTATGGGATATTAATACGTAATACCTGTTATAGGCTCTGGGCACATTTGGTCTGTGCCAGTTGTATGCGTTCGCACAATACCTGCGCGCGCGTCTCTCGCCCGCTAACTTCGAGTTATTGTTCCGGGCGCTGCTCACCACATTACTGGCAACACTGGGCACTGCTGTGGTCGCTCTGACCGTCACAGGTAAACCTTTTGGTGCATCGCAATGTTTTTTATATTATTTTTTTTCTTAATACTGGCAAGTATGTGGAGAATGTATGCGACATTTATTGTTGTGTATAAAAATTATTAGGTTATTATATTTTTTCTCATATGTGTTGAGTGTTGACTAATTCATTCAAAAGAATTAACCTTTAAAAGATATTTTGTAAATTTATAGGTAAAATTTCACCATGGACGGGAAGATTTTACTCTCTGCTCGACCCTTCTTATGCGAAAAATCACATTCCTATCATTGGTGAGTCTATTCTGACTTTTTTTTTTTGTTGTTAGTAGACCATAATTTTGACTTTTAATGTAGAATGAAAATATTTCTGTAATATTTTTAAAACCAAAGTTTTCTCCCTCCAGCATCTGTATCGGAGCACCAGCCGACGTCGTGGTCTTCGTTCTACTTCGACCTGCAAGTGCTGGTGTTCCTGTTCCCCGCAGGACTCTACTTCTGCTTCAGCAAGCTCACCGATGCCAACATATTCATCATACTGTATGGAGTACTTAGTATTTATTTTGCGGTAAGTAATAAACTGTGTTTGTCTCCCTTAGTGAGGCCTTTAGTGTTCGTTTAGGAAGAGAAAACTATATGAATGCAAGTTGATGCCCACTAAAAGTCCTAAAGTTTTGTGTGAAATATCTACACTAAGGCTGGTTTAAGTAACTTTTGAACGACTCTTAGTGCAGCTGTTAGTAAGATGGTTTTTCCAAGATACATGTTTTAGTTCCGAAATTATGGATAATTTTTTTTTTTAACTTTTAAGACCTGACGGGTCCTATACTAATCGGCTCCGTCATCGCACTATCATACGTGAGTTTTGAATTAGGGCTTATTGCTTTTTTATATACAATTTATGTTAATTTAGTAAAAATGATGACAATAAAAAGCTTGATAGCGTAGTAGGCGATGTCTGAGACACTCTCCGTCGCCTCCGCACCATGATCTATACACTTTGATCGCTGATTTCTTACACAACTAAGTACCGCATAACCAGTACAATTAGATCTACAAACTGGTATAACATCCAGGGTGTGATGGTCCGTCTGATGCTGGTGCTGGCGCCGGTGATGTGCATAGTGTCGGGCGTGGCCGCCTCCAGTCTACTCAGTCTGCACGTCAAGGATATTGAACCTAAAGTAGACAAGCACGAAAAGAAGAAGAAACATGAAAATAATTTTGTATTCCGATCTGAGGTAATAATTTTATAATTCTATAATTTAAATTGGAAATTACGTAATATTATTTTTAAATGCAGTGAACTAGTGTTGTAAACGCGAAAGTTTTGATGGATGGATGGAGTTTGTATGGATGAAATTTGTAACAGATTGATTATAATTTGGGATAGAATTTTTTACTTAATTCAAACACGATCGAAATACGCATACTAGTAGAATATATTTTATTCTATACTATCTATCTCTGGTATAGAGTAGACATACGTATCTAGGTCCTAAATAATTCTGAGCCTATCTATATTATGGAATAAGCTAGTGTTTATTATCGAAATCTGTAATTAGATAGTTTTTGTATTAAAGTTTAGCACTTTGCAAACAAACTAGCGCCATTCGCCATAATAGCGAAGCGACTGTTCGCCATAGATGTCTGCAATTGCAGATGTTACCTTTAATCGACAAGGGATGCACGGATTTTCCTGTTCCTATTAAAACATAGTTTACTTAATAACTAGCTTTCGCCCGCGACTTGTCTGAGTGGAATTAGAAAAAATAGCACGTAGCCTATGTGTTCCAGACAGCTCTATGTCAATACCAAATTTCATAAAGATCCATACAACCATTTAGGCTACAAACTAACAAACTTCCATCTAAACATTTGCATTTATAATATTAGTAAGTAGTGTGGAAGGATACACCGGTAGAGGTAGACCTAGGACCTAGAAAGAGATGGATTGCGTGAAAGATGACATGATCAAGAAGGGAGTAACGAGATGATAGAGTTATGTGGAAGACAATAACCTGTTGTGCCGAACCGAGAGTTTATAAGATGATGTGGAATGTCAGGTGGGTACGCTGTTCGTGTGCGTGCTGGGCTGCCTGCTGCTGTCATACGTGTTCCACTGCACGTGGGTGACGTCGGAGGCGTACTCCTCGCCCTCCATAGTGCTGTCGGCGCGCGCGCACGACGGCGCCAGGATCATATTTGACGACTTCCGCGAGGCCTACACCTGGCTCAAGATGAATACACCAGAGGTAAATATATACAAGGAATACACTTCATGAAAATCTATACTAATTATAAATATTTGTTTTTTTGTATCTATGTGATTTCACACAAAGATTACCGGGCCGAATTCAAAAATACAGTACTCGATAACTCAAACTTCGGTAACTTAAAAACCTCTATAACTTCAAAAAATAATATGTTCATTCCCTTCAGAGCCCAAAACTTCTATAACATAGACCCTTGGTAACTTAAAATATTTCGTGTTTCCCTTGGACTTTAACTTATCCAAGTTCTACTGTACTTTTTAATGGTGTAACCATTAAAAAGCTACATTTCACTGTGTAACATAGGCTGTTTTTTATTGACCGGAATTCGCCAAAATAACAAAGCCCAGATATAAGCATTAGCAGATGCATTGTCTACCTTCAATCAACAGAAGAGGTGACACAGAAAAGGGGTATTTCCCCTATTTTTGTGTCCCATCCTCCATATCCCCTTCCCATTTAAAGGGACATGGAATGGCGGACGAGGACTTAAAAACAAGGAATTGCTCCCACTTGACGCGTGTCTCTCGTGTATATTACAACTTTAAAATTAAGTGTTTTTTTATCTATGTTCCTTTAATTATGTTTATTTTTTTATTAGTGGCATATTCATTTTTAAATTGTAATTACGTTACACGATGTTAAAGTGGGCTTCAACCAATATTAGTATATTTAATAGTATTCTTTGTGCAGGAATCTAAGGTGATGTCTTGGTGGGACTACGGCTACCAGATAACGGCGATGGCGAACCGCACGGTGATAGTGGACAACAACACGTGGAATAACACTCACATCTCCCGTGTGGGGCAGGCAATGGCGTCGGGCGAGGAGCGAGCTTACCACATCATGCAGGAACTAGATGTCGATTATGTACTAGTTATATTCGGCGGACTCGTCGGATACTCCTCCGATGGTAAGACACACTTTTTAGATAACAATCTTCTAATCTTGCTTAATGTAACGCGAAAGTTTAGATGGATGTTTGTTAGAGTTTGCAGCCTGAACGGTTGAACGGATTTAGACAAAATTTGACATAGATGTAGAGGATAGTCTGAAAGAACACATAGAAATGGAACAGAAATAGAAATAATTTTTATTGAAAAACAAGAGATTAACAATTTGTGGTTAATACATAGGGTACTTGCATTTTTTTTAATTCCGCGCGGCCGATGTCGCGGGTGCAAGCTAGTCTTACTAATATTATAAATGCGAAAGTTTAGATGAATGGAACGGATATTGATAAAATTTGGTATAAACATATACGGAATGACTTTATAGTTTTCTTAATTATCGTATATGCAATATTTTTCAGATATAAACAAGTTCCTGTGGATGGTGCGTATCGGCGGCAGCACGGAGCGCGGCGCGCACATCCGCGAGGCGGACTACTACACGGCGGCGGGCGAGTTCCGCGTGGACGGCGAGGGCGCGCCCGCGCTGCTCAACTGCCTCATGTACAAGATGAGCTACTACAAGTTCGGCCTCGTCTACACGGAGGGCGGTCAGTGCACACATATTCCCCAACACGGCTTAATCCGATCACACTCTCAATCTTTGTATTACCTGTTGCAACTTTGTCCATGTAAAATTAAAAAAATAATAAAAAATGTAGCCTATGTTATTCAGTGATAACTATTAGTAGGTAACTAGTAGATTTTAATAGACTTTAAAAATAACATTTTTTATTTATTTCAATACATACAGAAATCTAAAAGTTCAAAAATACAAATCATTCATCTTTATAATACTAGTATAGATTACGTCTTGGACATCATCATTCAGAGCCACAGAATACACTTGACAGTCTTTTAAGTGTTTAGTTTAATCCAGAAACTTCTAAGCCGGTGCATTTATTGATCATCCAAAATATCTAAAAGGATTTATTTCATACTAACTTAATCTAATGCCATATAATTAAAAAAAAAATTGTACTATTTATTCTATTAGCTATATTGCATGTAAATCACTTTTGTTAATACATTGATATATGTTGGTATCCGTCAGGTCGTCCGCCGGGCTTCGACCGTGTGCGCGGCGCGGAGATCGGCAACAAGGACTTCAACCTGGACGTGCTGGAGGAGGCTTACACCACTGAGCACTGGCTGGTCCGCATCTACAAGGTCAAGCCGCTGCCCAACCGCGGACTCTAAACACCAACAACCACCACACAACACCAACAACCACCACTTACACCAGTAACCACCACCAAGTGACTGTTGAACGGATAATGTCAATGTACACAGTATTTCGAATTTCATTCATTTGTTTGTAGAGATATCGCAATCTATTTCTTAATATTGATTCTCTTTCCGTCTGCTCTCTATTGCTGGAATGTTTGAAATCAGTTTAGAAGTGTATAAATTTTATAGTCAATGGTTCACTTTTAAAAAGATCCAAAAATATAATTTACTAAGATTATCGAAATAAATAGCTTTAGGATAACCCAATCTAAGGTCTAGTAAGATTGCGAGAACTGTACATTTATAATGTTTATGTCAAAGGAAATGTGATTGTAGTTTAGTAAAAGTGAAATTGCGTGATTCTTGTATTGCTATCACTGTTTCTTTCTATGATGATGAGTGAGATGGCTATATTGTGATTATGAAAGTCAAAAACATATCCTGTTCATTGTTACTTAAGTGTAAGTAGTGGGTAACTCAACTAAAATTGATGGACTGCAGATCAGATGATCACAGAAATGGCTCATAGTTCAGATCGTTTTTTCATAGTTATTGCATTTGCGCGTTCACATAGTTATTAAATCGCAGTAAGTCGTGAGCTAATAATTTAGTTGCTGAGCTATAGCTCGCTAGTTCACCTAGACCTGAACTTTTGAGCCGAATCAGAGCTAATTTACAACTAAGTGCATGTGTTAAAGCACACTACAAATGTGTTCATCAAATCATTATTAATATATATATTTTAATGGAAACTGTTTATTATTTTTCATTTTGTTGCGAAATAGCTGAAATCCAGTGATTTTTATTTTCATTACTGAAATTTGACATATTCATTTTACAACTTTTTTTTTTATTTCAAAAGTCACAAAAAAGTAATGACTGAGTGTAAAATATTTCACCTCATGTTAACAGAGTAATGTACCTACAATTTCCATTAATTTATCAAAATATACTGAAACATGAGTTATTTATGATTGGGCAGTTAATGTGGAAATAATTGAAATAAGGTGGTAACTACAAAATACCTTTAAATCTCAAAAGGAAGTTCCCTACAGTGCTAAAGTGCTGAACATTAGATTAGATAGAATATTGTAATAGTTAATATAATTATTTTTTAAATAAAAAAAATTATAATTTCCAACATTTTTATTATTCTTATTTTATTGACAATATTGATTTCTTAGTATGAACAATAGTTTTTTCTAAATTGTATATTGAAGTATTCATAGCAATAAAATATCAATATTTGAAGTAATAAATAGTAATGTAACAGAATATTCATTTAGAGTTCAGTAGTGCAAGCTAGCAATAATTTTTTATAATAAATGTAAGAACAGAAAATAAATGTTGCTAGTGTAATGTGAATTTATATGTGCACGTTTTTATATACCAAGTATAATTTAAATTAGACATGAGAAAAACCTTTCTCATACTAATGACTAAAAAGACGTATTTTCACAATAGACATTTAATACAAATTAGCTGAACCACATTTAAAATATAATACCTAAGCTAGTAGCACAAGTGTTGTTATAATTCGAGGTAATTTTGGTATCCCAAGATCCAATCTTATATATGGAAAGATGTATAATATCATTTTTATATTTTTATTTGTAATAAAATTTTATTAATAAACAAATGTTTTATTTTGAAATGGGTAGTATCGTTTATTTTTAATTTTTCTATAAAAGAAATGGATTACATTTGTATATCTATGGAATGTGAATAAAAAACGCATAATAAAATAAAGATTTTGTTATATTTACAAGCTTAACATTAAAACGGAAACTCAAAACCACATTTATATTCAGAAGAATCCGACTCTGCGAGTTTTAAACATCGTCGTCATTTTCACCTTGGTCAGAACATTCCTCAGGTAGGAAGGTGTCATCATTGTGAGGGTTCTGTTTGTTGGGACGGAAGCGCTTGTGACTCTGCTGAGGGTTTGGCTCATCTACTGTCAGCTGCAAACAGAAAACTATGTAAGACTACCTTTTGCGTGATTTCATCCACGGAGAAAAAAGGTTGTTGTAGACCGAAATCATTCCATTGGGATTTTTTTTCCATTGGACCTTTGTTTCTTACTAAACTAGTGGTTTAGGTGTTTATTTTTTTCAAGTGTGCGAAATCTAATCAAGATCTGTTAAGCTATATTGAAGCAACAGTAGCATACATCCAACAATTCATGTGAATTTCAGAATTTATAATATTACTTTGTAATCTGTAACCTAATAAAGGGAAAAAACTATAACTAAGTTGATAATTAGGGATTGTAAAACCTGTTTCAACAGCTTGTATGGTCCAATTCCATCCATAAATGCATCTCTGAATGCTTTATGAAGTTCCTTCTTTCTGAACACAGTACATTGTGTGTGTAGAACACTTTTAACATCCTCTGACAAATCTGTTAAAAAGTCAATTTAGTGAATACTGAATTTTGTACTCTGCAATTATTTTGTAGTCAATTCAGTGACCTCACTAAATGGATAGGTAATTGCTTGGAAATACTAGCTTTTGCTTTCATCTGTCTTAAAAGTATCTGTTCAATTTACAGACAATTCAATGTGTATTATTAGTTTGGGTTTCCAACACTACTTATAGCTACTATAATGCCAAAATGAAGAAAATCAAGTAGGAACAAAACATTACATTAAGGGCCAGTCCCAACACTAGCTGATAGAGGCTTAGATAGCTTAAAAGGGACGTCACTGTCTGACCGTTAATAGCTTATCCATGAAAAGAGGTCAGTGAGTAAATTATATATTTACCTGCATCATTGAATCTGTAAGTTTTAGGTCTAATATCATTGATGTCATAATCAAGGAAAAGGACTATAGGTATCATAACACATTCATTGTCCACATTCGCTTCAGCAAAAAATGATATCTCTATATATGATGAGTCTAATTTTTTAAATAACTTTGCTTCAATATTTAATAATTTCTGTAAACCATAAAATTTATTTTAAATTGCATAAATGTGATACTAATTCAATAATATGAATTTAGGATTGTCACCTTTAAAGCATCAAATTGTGCAAGTCTATCGTAATATGCAACAAGAGCTTTTCTTATAGAGCCAAGGCACGCTGGTTTCATAACATTGTCAAACTCTTCAATCACAGCTTTGAAATTAAAGCCAAGTGGGAATGAGGTTCGTTTTATTTCATTTTTTCCTGGAATAAAAAAGATTAAAACAGAATAATTGTGTAAAATTTATCAAAGACTGTAGAGCATAGAATTAAAGACATCATAAACCATTATACAGTTTTTCATATTTTAGACTGGTGGCAATGGCAAGCTATTTTGCTGGCAATGAATCTATATTAGGCAATCCGCAAATTATTGCTTCATTCTCGAAAAATGATTGATTCCACCACTTACCGGAAGTCATGTCAATTTCCAGGCAATGTTTAACTTGGTGTTTTGCATCATGCTGCAAATGATAGACAATGCAGCAAAGCTCCCCTGACACATATGACTGCACCTCCATACCTGACACCATAGACGTTAACTCCAGGTTTTTCTTCATAGTGTCAATTGAATTTTGTAGCATAATTATCTAGTTGAAACAGAATTATTAATAACAGTTATCACACATTATAGATACAGCCGAAGTTAATAAAACCGGCGGACGAATAAAATAAACATACCTGGGGTCTAACAAAAACTTCGGGTTTTTTCGGTAGAGTATTGACACGGGCAGTTTTACTTCTATACTTATTGCGCTGGACCTGAAATAACTCATAATGCTTTTGTTTAAGCTGTCTTTCAAGTTCCTGGATCTCTTCCTGCAACTCTTGGCAGTCGTCTGGTGCTCTAATTGCTACAAAAGACGGATATATATTTTTCAATTCTTTCATTTTAAATAACTAGCATTTTATACACTTACCGCCTTTTCGGAACAACTTTGTTATTTTTATTTGTTTAGTGTTTGTCATTATTACTGCAAATCTTTTCCCAGTAGTAGCAATAACACTTAAATTATTTCATATATTATCTAAAACTTATCTCATAAAGTTATAACGGATTTCCAGTTTAAAAATCCTTTTGTTTTTGATTTGCTGTTGTCAGACGTAAGTTGTCAAGTTGTCAACATTGACAGGATGGCGCCTCTGAGCATTTAGGGTTACCAGCAAGGTAATATGTCTGCATTAAAGGGAAATTCTTTCCTTTTGAAAACAAAAACGCAAATTGTAAAGGAAGTACGTGTACCTTACAATGTAACTAGGAAGTGCCTCAGACTTCGTTTGTCGGTTAGAAAGCTCTATAGTTAAAGAATCTTCGTAGCAAACTTCTTGCAATACACTCTCTTGAGTCAGTTAGAGAAGAAATAGTCAGAACATAATAGAAATAGTCTTACTTAGCGCTGATCTACAGAATAATAGAAATCTTACTTATTGTTGTTTATAATCAACGCACAGTACAACGATGTGGTACGGTTTGAACGGTGCGATTTAAAATTATCAGTTAATTAGTTTGTGATACATTAATAAGTAACGCAAGTAAATATGAAATTTATGTCAAGAAAGCCATACTTCCAGGTGCACAAAACACGTTACAATAAGGGGTCGGTCACTGTAATTTGAAATAGGAAATAAATAAAACAACTTTCAACAAAATATTTTAAAGTCAATTAGTACATAACATTTTTTTAAAATTACAAATATAAAAATATGCGTCGCCTTGATAGTTATGGAATTTCTTGCTTAACAAATGGTAACAAATTCTGATTGCAACAGACACAAGGTAATTCAAATTCACATTTTCAAATGTAATTACTGGACGCCCTACTTCTTCTCAGAGATAAAAATATCTCCCACTTAAAAAAAAAACTCACTTGCACTACTGTTAAACACTCCTCCTGTACGTAGTACTTATTACCTCCATGGAAGGGGAGATCCCTTTTAAAGTAATATTACGATCTTTCATGATTTGTAGATAAAAAAATATTTTTGTCTATACTCCGGTAATTTCCTCGAAAATATATTTGTCGATGAAAGTCTATGGTGATACACCAATTTTGGCGCCATCTGTGTCTGTGACTTACAATTTTGCTATTGTACTTGTACTTGCAATTTTCTAGGTTTCGTTTGCGTTTGCTATTGTGAAGTGTAGCCTATCTTACATTTCATGAATGATCAAATTTTACTGTTTAATTTGTAACTCAAAGAAGTTTTAGGGAAAGGGAAGTAAAGTTGATTTTTCTACATTGCAGTTGCACAAGACTACGTGTAGGTAAGTCTAACTTTAAAAGTATTCGGATTGTCAAAGATATTAGTTAATAGAAAGAAATAGAATCGATTCATGGTATTGCTAAATATGTGCATAAATGATTTCTAAATCGAAAGCCTTGACGAGTTTAAATTTATAGTAAATGCATAACATGTTTATGTAGATGACTGTATACAATATTTTAAGAAACTTGCATGACAGCTTGACATGTTTTCCTTTACAGGCAAGATGTTTAGTATGCCATCAGCTCACCAACAGTACTTAAGGGAGAGAGGTTTAATAAGTGAAATTTATGCAGCAATGAACAGTGATGATTATGCTGATGTTGTAATGGCAGCTTTTCGTGCACTTGAAAAATGTAGTGGCTTCCCACACTTACCTAAACTTAATAAATGTGAATCAAGATCTAATGAGTGCCGTAATGAGGGTAATGTAGCCTTTAAAATGGGAAATCATAATGAAGCACTAGAATGTTATAATAAAGCACTTATGTGTGCACCGACGAACTCCAGGGCAATGAAGCTCGCATACAGCAATAGATCCGCTATTTTTCAAAACCGGAAACAATTTTATGCCTGTAAAACTGATATAGAACATTGCTTTCGACTCGGCTGTCCGCCAGATATCGTTGAAAAATTAAAGAAAAGATTGGCATTTGTTAAAATGTTTAGTGACATAGAAGAAATAGCTGTGAAGGAAGTAATTGATACTTTTGGTAGTGTTTTTAAATTTGGTACTAAGCGAAATTCCCAAATACCTTGTGCTAGTGCCAATATTGAAGTTGTTAGGAAAGATTCTTCTGTAAAGATTGTTGCAGCTAAAGACATTAAGGTTGGAACCTTACTAGCATTGGAACCATCATTTGTTAGTTGTAATAATGTAGAGAAATTACCATTTTCTTGCCACTACTGTCACAAGATGTCATTGAACCTTATACCTTGTGATAATTGCTGTTTTGTGTTGTTCTGTGGTGAAGAATGTAAAGCGCTTTGCATGAAAGAATATCACAGCATAGAATGTCAAATTATGGAAATAGTTGAGATCTTTTTGAATAGTCCAATGGCAAAACTGATGGTCAAAGGTGCTATTAAAGTGGTGCAACTCAGTGAATCCTGGGAAGAAATAAATACGATTTCACGTTGCACAGGCTCAAAAAGAATTTGCACTGCTTCGGTGCAGGAAATGTTCGATGTCGGAAATAAGCTTTCTGTACTTAGTTACAATGATGATAAGCTGTTTGTACATGGTAGCATGTATGTGGCCAGTTTCTTCTGTGCCTTAATAATTTATCATTTAGAAAAAGTGCCATCCTTTTTTCCTCTGTTATTGGGGGAGAGAAAATCGGCGATGGAGTCTCTGGGACGGCTCATGATGTATTTTGCATTGCATGCTGAACCAACACAAGTTATATTGACTGTAAGCAACAGGACATTGTCAAAGACTTATAGTTGTCCGCATGTAAACCATGGATGGTATCCATTTATTGGCAAATTGCAGCATTCTTGTACTCCTAATGTTGTTGTTTCAAATTTGAACAAAACTGCTGCTTTGATAGCGGTACAACCTATTGAGAAAGGAACGGAGTTGACTGTTTCTTACATGTAAGTATACTTAATAAATTAGCATAATAAAATATTTTAAGTTTAGAACTGTGTGAAGACAAAACTTTAATCTGTACAGTAAAACTGACAGAATTTTGCTTACACATAGAGACTTGTTAACCAACCAACAGTGGGTCAAAGTGGTTGACTAAGGACTAGTCACCCCTAACGCAGGTCTAACCTAGACTCCAAGCCCCTCAGTGAGGATGTATAGTGAGCTGGTGATGACACATTTAACTGAATAATTAGAGTGTACAACTTTATGTCTGTAGTGGGCTCAACATTTGACACAGGTTGCTGCATAAGCGACAGCAGCAGGTACCCGAAGGGCCCCCTCCTCGGGGGTACAAAAGAAAAGAGATTTGACACTGTGGCCCAATAAAAAAATGTATACATTGTCTGCTCATATCTTTTTTAGTTTTATTGAAATCCCTTAATTTATGTATTTTTTTGTTTTTTGCTTTCAGGGGTCATTACCATACATTGGATATTGATTTACATGCGAAAAACAGCATATCATTTGAAAAAATAGGTAAAGTTTGCAAATGTGATATATGCAGCGGAGATTGGAAATTGCAAACCAAGAAGAGTGTGTTAACAGATAAACAACGTAGAATGTACATTAATAAGTTTCTACCTATAAAGAAAGATGGTGAATTACACAAAATGCACTTGTTTATTCATAATGTGTTCGAAGTAATGACTTGCTTAAATAATGTTCCATTCTCTAAGGAGTATAAAGAAGTCTACACCTTATTTCACAAATGCATATTAGCCTATGAAGAAAGTAAAGGCAATTTTGTTTTAGGTTAACCAGCTATTTTCGTGCGGCTTCATCTGCATATTATGAAAACTTTAATTATTTTTTACATTCCACTAAAACTTTTTCATTTATAAATGTCAAAATTCAAATATATACTTTAAAGACAAGATAAGCCTTTCTCATTGGCTAAAAGTACCGTTACCATGGTAATTTTCTTTTGGCTATTGGCTGTTAGTTTTTGTCCCTTTTTTGCGTGACAATTTATTTCAATTTATTCGTATATAAATTAAATAACGTGAATATAACCTATAGCGTATCATAAGTGTAGGGCTTTTTATTAAAAAAAAAGAGCTTAATTAATAAATATGTTATGATTGCTGACACCTAAATAACAAAGTGTGTTTTTACGTTTTCTTGTATTTAATAGAGATTTTTTATTTAATAAATTAATAAATCTTGACTGACATCTTTGATTTTTTTTCCTCCATCTCCAAAACTGATCCTATCTGTCCTTTCATGATTGTTTTTCAATATAACAACATAAGTTAGTCCTCTTAAATCAACGCTTATTGTTACCCCCAAAAACATCAACGTGCCGCATAAAGATTGCTATCTGTTCCCCTTTAACTAAAACTATTATTTTCTTAATAACTAACTTAGAGGACAATATTAGTATTGATTATAATGTAGAGAATTTAGCGATGACATGAATAGCGAAATACAATTTAATTACGTACGTATTAGTAATAAATATTTATTTACTCTCATTACTTGTATTGGTTCTGCAGGTCATTAAATTGAGAAAACAGTGTTTTTATTTAATTCCATAAGTTATAACTATGAATCTATCGATTCCAACTTCTATGACAGTAAATATCAAAAAGATACATGCTTGATTTTACACAACCATCCCTACTAAGTTGTCAAAATAATCAATTAGACAAACTATAACAACAAACAATATTTCTTTAACATGTCGGTAATAAATTATTACATTACATCAATCGCCTATTTTTCTCCAAACAACGAAAGGATTTATATCTGGCAACTCTAGGTCACTGTTAGAAAGGGACACAGCGAACACTTATAGCCTTCTCACTCGGGTTCAATTTTATTTTGCGTGCAAGAAGACTCTTATGCCCTTAGCATAACGTTTTATTTTCTTTATTTTAACAAGACAGAACTACAGATAGAACTCGTTCATGTTGTACGTAGTAACTACTTAATACCTACATGGTTAATAGTTGAAACTTGATAAGAGATTTAATCGAACACATACGTTGAAGTCGGAAATGGGAAAATCCGATTAATCATCAGATGACAATGTTCTCATATTCAACTATAAAAATATTCTGGGTATTACAGATGCGGCAGTCGTTGTGGTGTATTCCGGAACGGTGGTTGTTTCTTTGGAATTGTTTCTTTTATTTAACGCATTTCCTATCATGTCTCTAGCTTTGGAGAAGTGTAGATTCTGTCTAAAATCTAATGTTCAATATAATTCTATTTTCGACGCGTATAACAAAATAATGTTTGCTCAAATGGTGATAGAAATGACCAAAATTAAGGTAATTTAAAATATTTTTTAATGATTATCGAAGATAGAATATTCCATACAAAAATTATCTTTTCTAATTATTCAGTATTTGAATTATTTTTTGTTAGAATACAGACTAAAAACTTACTACATTTTTGCAACGTTATTAAAACATTAGAGACATAATATGTAAAGCAACGAAAAAAGCCAGACTTTTGACCTTGTTCATATTTATAACACATGATTTGACGGATATCTTATTTTTATACAAATCTTAGTTCCTAATTTAAAGGGGAAGTTTATTTACTGACGAGGAAAATAAAAAAAAAACTTCGTCATTTTGCGGCAAACGTATGGAAATTATTTATGTGTTCACAATTTATTGTTAAAAAAAAATGTATAAAAATATATGTTTCTACAATCAGATTCGCCTTAATGATGGACTGCCAAACAAGGTCTGCATAACATGCCTTAAGCGCCTTACAAATGCGTACGAATTTAAACTACAATGTGAAAAAGTCGATCGCGTGTTACAAGAAAACATCAAAAGTAAGAACATTTTACTAAATAACAAGTAAACCATAATCTCTATCTTTTCAAAGAGATAATAATTTGGTATAGTATTAACCAATTTCAGCAACAGTAATAAAATTATTAACGAAAAAAGTGTTCAATACAAGGAAATTATTATTGTACATAACTGTTGTATTTAGTTTTTTTATAATTTTTTTATAATTAAAACGCCTATGAATTAGGTTTTTGTTTCTATATAGTTATTTTAGTTGTCATCTAGCATTTGCATTCAAAAATATATCTATAATCGCAGCAAACGATATTATTTTCAAACAAAAACATCGAAAAAGTAGCCGTGAGAAATAGCCGTAAGATAATTTGTTCCTTATTCATTTTTATTCTAATGTTTCAGATATGACCGTAAGAAACCAAAATAAAGGAAACACAGTAACCCCGTCTCGAGATGGATTCTCACAAACCTCCATACAACCGCCTGTATCCATAACAACAAGGCCTACACCCGTAACCAGCACACCTTCTTCTGATATTCGTAAAAGCCACACCCAGGTCAATCAATATTCAAACCAAAGTAACCATATTCAAGCAAATTCTGGTGAAAACAGTAATATATATAATTCAAATCACGCCGCAACTCCACAAAAAATTGTTGCGTCAACTTCTAATGCAAAACCAAGTACTTCAAACATCATAAAACCATCAATACCTGAAACATATAATTGTACAACTTGTAAAAAAGCATTTAAATTATTTATCGCATTTAAAAAACATTCGAATAAATGTCGCATATTGTATAACACACAGAAAAGAATCAAAGCATTGATTGGAAAACAATTAAAACCGCAAGTGAAATCTGATTATATATGTATTTATTGTCACAAGCAATATAAAAACATTTCAAATTTAAATAGACATCTCATTCGCGGTCATAGTAAAATCCTACATGCTTTATCATTCTCCACATGATAGCCACTTTATATCCGACCCTTATCCGATGGAGGAGACGCACATAAAGAGGATATTTCCCCTTCCTGTGCGTCTCCTCTACCGTCAAATCCACTTCGCCTTCCCATCCTCTCCTTATAAGAAAAGGGTGGTAAAGAGAAAGGGATTTAAATTAGACCTCCGGCACCACACTCATCAGACGAAACAGGAAATTGCTTCCACTTCACGCCTGTCTTGTGTGGTCGTGGTATTACTGGGGGCGTGCCGGCCCTGCAGTGCTAACATGTTAAAGCGGGCACTACCACTGTTAAAACTGAAGATACGTCAATAGCTGTCTAAAGTAGCTCTCTGCTCTTAGAAATTTGTAATTGTAAAATAATGTACTAATGTAGTATAAGAAGCTTGCTAATAATTTTATGATCTATGTTTATTTTTCTATTTTATTTTAAATATTAGTGGAATTTTGTTAATTTACTTTTCCTATAACCATACCAACTAAGCTCTAGGCTTGTGCTAGGATATAGTTCACGGCAATAGTCGAATGGCGGGATTCGAACTCTACCGCAAGATCGGTACCCCAAACCATTAGACTATTGGCGCTTAAGATATAATATAAATAGAATTTTTGGGATAGACCTAACGATATTGTTTTAAGGATTGCCATAATAATTGTCAATTTAGATTAGGACAATGACATAAATAAACTATTTAATAAATATAATGTTTATTAATAATCTTTAATTAAATTATTAACAATTCATCTAATCGTAGATCCTAAAAATAGAAATAAATTCTGACAAGAGATAAACATTTTTAAGACCGCCACACACGTTCGTTTCTAACCGAAAAATCGAACAGTTAAAAATGTAGAGAGAACTGAGAACTGTTAAATGTTGCCAGTTCCACTGTTGAGTTAAAACCTTTGTAGCGGTCTTAAAATAAATAAAATGAGAACGAACGTGGCGCACCGAATTTAAATGCATGAGCATTGCCTACCGATGACCGAGGGGAAGGCGGGTGACGAAGAAGGGGGGGGGGGCTACAAATTGTAAAAAAGACTGTTTTTTCTCCAACAATGCTTATTAATATTGAATTTTTACACATATTTCACAATTTTCAAATGTCTAGGGGCAGATGCCTCCTCCTACCCGCTTACCTTGGCGACGCCCATTAGCGATATCGCTGATCGAAAAATCAAACATTTATGGAACTCACAATAACTTTGGACTTGTGCTTGTTATGTATTTATTCCTATAATTATACATATTCAATTCTACTAGCGATATCGGTAATTGTAAATTGACTTTGTTTAAGCAGGCAGATCCGAAGGGAAGTGTAAAAAAATTTAATACGTAGCAAATATGTGATAAAACATTTGGTCCACGTTAGATTTGTCTTTCGGAAGTGTAGCTGATAACTACCAAAAGACTGCTATTTTCACCATTCCAGTATTCAAAATCCTAGCAGCTTTGAGTCTTCTTCGGAAAGACGACCTTCTTCTAACCTTATTTTTAATCTGAAATAAGATAAGAATACTATATAAAATACATAGTAACAAAAAATGGACAGGTCTTTGAAATCGACAATCGCCTCATACATGTGCCGGAATTTAATATAAAATAATCAGTTGTCACGTTTTATAAAATGATAAAGATTAAACAAATAATGTTTTCATTCAAACTGTGCAGTAAATGAAACAACAATAATTATAACAATATATAGTTAATAAATATGTAAAGAGATAAACTTTTAACGCACAGGAAGGAAATCAGTATTATCAAACCACGATATATCAGCTTTTTTCCGTATGACACACGCGTTTATTTGTCACTTACGTAAACAGACTTCAAAACAAATATATTAAAACTTTAAATCGATTTACAGCGATAAAAATAAAAAAAGAATGAACTGAATGATTGAATAACAGTGAATGAATGACCTTTGCTCGTTGTGATCGAGCGACCAGAGCTGCGGCATGTAGCGCGGCCGCATGGAGGAGAGGAAGTGCTGCCGCCACAGCCGCTCCAGCTGCAGCAGACCCTCGTGCTTCAAGAAGTACTCTACCACTTTATGTCCGTGCGACGAGTAGTCTACGTTTTCAAACCTGTCACACAGTAGTGTTAGTGTGCGGCGAGGAGTGTGACAGCCCAGGGCGCTGGACATAAAGGGACGTCACAGATGCTCAAAGGGGAAACTTAAAGTTAGACGTTGTAGAAATCTCAGCCAGGATGTTAGAAATGCTAAAACGGTCCTTGCTGTCACATATTGAACTGTTAACTTTAGCTTAAGTGTAGAATTAGGGCCTGTCCAACAATTCTTGTAAATTGTTATGATAACAATCCAACGTCTATAATATCTGATGGAAGTATCGGATTTTGGTACTCTACTTGATAGTGACGTCATTTTTACGTTATTAGCTTCAATAAGCCGGTGGTTAGACAGGCCCTTAGTCTTGTAGTAGCTATGGGAGCAATCATTAAAGTACATATATTAATGTTTCTAAGTGTTCGTCAACACAGACTGGGTCGTAACAGTTTATCGCAAATAAAATAGAACTTTATAGGATTGAAACAAGGTTTAATTACTCTACTCCTCTACGCATGTGATTATTTTTGTATTACAAATGGATGTGATAAGAGAACTTACACAACTTGTATCTCCGCCGCCTCTTGCAGAAGTTCCTGTGTGATCTCTTGATGTTGTGGAAAGTGACGCAATAATATTAGTTCTAACTCCTTCCGCCTCTCCTCTGGCAGGACGTGTTTTCTCGACTGATATAGCAAAGCTCGAGCAGCTGAACGGATTTTCCTATTCATCAAAAAATAATTAATGTTAAAGAACAGCTCTTGTACCCATAAACTTGTTCTCTTATTGAATCCCCAGTCCGGAAGTACAAATTACCAACATGGAAAAGTTACAATTCCGCCCCAAGATAATAAGGAAATACCCAAATATAACCAAAGGTACTGATTTAAACAACGTCAATGAGACATAGATGAATAAATAAATTATGACCACTATTAGAGTCACATCTGCTGCTATCTGTAGGACTTATCTTCTCTTTATTCGAGTCCACAAATACATAGATCTTTTAACATTAGGTAACATTATCTACGGAGAAGAGATAAATTGAACGTATACTTCATTAAAAATGTAACTATAAAAATTTAGTTTTTTAAAATCCTGCTAACTATAAACCGGAAACCACACTGAAAACTTTCTTGTGACTTATCAAGTTTGGTGAGAACAAAACAATTAAAACAAATGATACAAATTCAGGAAGGAAGACTTTTGCTACCCCACACGGACCGGAAGGAAGTGGTTAAATACAATTAAATCGTAGACGTTTGTTGTAACTAACTTGCAGTCAACGTCCTCCTTGAACTTGTTGTCGGTGTGCGCGGCGAGCGGCGCGGCGCACTGCTCGGCGAGCCGCTCCCGCACCGCCTGGTCGCGCATGTTGCTGCGCTGGTGGCAGCCCGTACACAAAAGCACCACGTCATGCGACGCGTGGTCCTTCATTATTTCTAAACAAGAAACTCAATTTGTTTCTTGTTTTCGATTGAGATTTTAAAAAACTAAACCGCCGCTTGCAGACCTTTTCACAGAGGGTCGCACAAAAGGATATTTCCTCTACCCATACGTCAAATCCGCCAACAAATTTACTTCCGTTCCCATCCCTTGTACTAAAAGGGTGGAAAGGGGAAGAGGACTAAAATAATGCAAAACGCGGAATTACTTCCACTAAAAGCCTATCTTGTCTGGTGGTATCACGGGACGAGCCAGACCATTCTTGTTAAGATGCTAATCAGGGTAGACCCTGTGAAATATCTACTTTATGGCATAATTTAATGTAATATCCTTATGACTTGGGAGAAAAATCAAATCAATTGACACATCACTCGTTATTAAGTTGTTTAAGCTGCAGGCCACAAAGTAGAATATCGCACTGCCGATAACTTACGTAAAACTATGTGGTTGATTTATAACCGCTTTATTATCATAAATCAACATGTTTATCATTAACTGCAATGTACACCGGAAAATAGATATTGTACCATCAAAGCTATGACACATAATCAGTGTTAATGGCTTCAAATACCTAGCAGTTACATTACATTGTCTAAACTTTTTCATTCAAATGTACTATGACTATGACTAAGTAAATGCCCGTTATTTTGTTATTTTTTGTGTGGCTCATATCTTTTTAATAATACCGCAGTTCGCGTGACCTGACATTGATCATGTATTGCGAGTACGTTAGATTTTCAAACGAATAAATGCAAGATGGCTGCCGTGACACAATGGCGGATAACTATTAGAATTGACTTGGATAAATAAAATCTCACTCATGAGATACAATGGTAGTTCATGTATATTGTACTTTATTTATTTTTTATAAAGAAAGATATTGATTTATTTTTAAATGTGATTATGAATGTCGCCAGTCGTTGATGTAACTTGACACTTAACCCATCCTAGGCGTCGCCCTTGCTAGGGTCCTAAAAATATCTATATGAAACCCGTCATATTTATTTATCTTTCATTTACCTGGAAAATATTTCCTGTATTCTCTTGGCACTACATTTTTTCGTATATAAGAGTTATCGCCGCCGCAAACAACGCATTTGTTTTCTTTAGTAAGTTGGTAGTACCGGCCCACCTCGCCCACCGAGCGGCCGGACGGCTCGAAACGTAAGCGTACTGTGAGCGGATCCTCCTTTACCACGTCTGCTAATTCTTTATCCACGTACCTGAAAAAAGTTAAAACACTATTATAGCTTTTTACATTACTAAAAAAAATTAGGTCTATGTGTTGTCAATTCATTTGTCCCCACTTGGAGGTCCCGAGGACACCCACCCTACTGCCAATTTAGTGTTGATTAGATTAGGTGGTACGCGACATATTTTGGCCTTTTTTTTGCCCGAAGGGAATGCATCTTACGCATACTCCGCGCCCAGGGGGACGCGGTAGTTATGTGGGACTCTCCCCCATAATGGGGGCATACCCACTAAAGCCAAACATTTTGGCCCAGCCAACATCACATACTTCATTATGTACTCCGAAAGTTTGTAGAAGTTTTACCAATTATTTAAAACAAGTTAAATTAGTATTTGATTGTAAAATGTATAATATACATAGTTATTATATGTAAGAATATACGGATAGTTTTTAGCTTTGATTTTATATGTAACTTGTTCTCCATTTATTGCTTCTCGAACTAGCTAAAGGCCATAAGTATGGAAATGAGAGGCTCAGGATATCCTTGGGCTCCTTGATCCTTGCAGATATTGTCTGCATATTAATTATGTTTCATTTTATGTAAAAACGTTGGATATACACATATAATTTACATGGCGGGAATCGAACTTGCACTTTGTAGTACGATCCGATCTAGTAAAGCTTAGCAACTGCGTCATTTAAGCTCTAATGCTCTCGGTATATTTATGAGTCAATATTATGTACATTTTCCGTATCTTTAAACAACAAAGACTAATTTCTACACATTTGTTTATTTAATATTCCATAATTCTTATCAATTTTAGTTATGTATAAAACTAAAATACAATAAACTCATTAGGGCGTCATCTATTGTTCCACTTCAAATACATTTAAGAATTTGTTATTTGCATTACAATCTGTTGTCCGCGACTGGGACCGCCCGGAATTAAAAAAAAAAAACTTATTATGTAACCTATGTATTACTACTTACTTTTGTTTTTTACAATACCACGCGGACGGAATAGCGGGCGGAAGCTAGTATTCCATAATTCATATTAATTTCAGTTGCGTATAACCGTAAATACAATACAACTCATTAGGGCGCCATCTGTTGTTCCACTTTAACTACATTTAAGAATTTGTTATTAGAAATCTGTTGTCCGTGACTTCGACCGCATAGAATTAAAAAAAAACTTATAATGTTGCCTATGTATTCTTCCAGACTACATTAGCCATCCAAACTTTTGCATTAATAACATTAATAAGAAAAAAGTATGAAATTACGTCACATTATTGTCAAAGTTCAATAAAAATTGTATGACTTACCATTCAGCCTTTTTAGTGTCACATGTGCAGAGAAGTTCTCCATCTGGTGCCACTAAGAAACAATTGTGGTATAAAGGCTTGGACCGCGTCGCGTGCGGATACCGTTTGCTCACTGCTGCATCCTTCGTTAATTTACTTTCCTTTTCTTTTTTACTACAAAAAGGTACAAAGTTATAAAATTATTAAAGTCAACAAATATTAATTAATGCAAACATAAAAGAAAAATCTTGTAATAAACTGTACAGAAATATATGTTTATTAAGGTTGGAGGTCATCCGGGGTACAAGGATGGGTAGCCTCCCTTAAAGAATAGTAAAATGTATGTAAAAACTACAGAATCAGACAATATTCATTATAGCTCCCCCCTACCCATGGGGTCTACCTGGACCAAAGTTGGCAACAATTATGTTACAAGCAAATCTAAAGTAAAACGATAATAATATTGACAAGCTATGTCTACTGCTTTACAAATGAACTAGCTTTCGCCCGCGACTCCGTCCGCGTGGAATTAAAAAAAAAACAAAAGTGAGTAGCCTATGTGTTCTTCCAGACTATCCTCTACATCTGTACTAAATTTCATCGAAATCCGTTCAGTCGTTTAAGCTACAAACTCTAACAAACATCCATCCATCCATCCATCTAAACTTTCCCATTTATAATATTAGTATGATGAAAGCAAATAGCAATGCATACAAAAGAAGTTATAACATTTGCCAAGTCAAACTCACATTATTTTTTCCTAATTCATTATATTAGTTAATTGTTCTTATAGGACAATTGATTTCTGTTTTATCTCTGTTTGGAACAATTATGTCTTTGCTATACAAATAACATAAAAATTAACTTTATCTTTATATGGTAAGTTATTCAAAATAAAATATTCACATACATTTCATTGCCCAATTTAGCTGTGTGTTTACTTTTAAAGCCAATATCAGCATACTTCCAGCAGATATTATTTATATTATGCCAAACATTATTACTTGTGTGGTCTAACCAACTCCATATTGAGCCATATTTCTTGTTAATAAGGTTAACAAAGATTTTAATGGCCACATGGGCATCGGCTGCTGCATAATTTATTTGTGTTTGTGTTAACTCATCAACTTCCCAGTTACTGCAACGCACCTGAAAAGAGAACACTGTGTTTCAACATATTGCACAATATTTTTAATTACAATAACATTATAAAACATGTTGCAACTGATTTTCCTTCCATACTTAGGTATGTAGATAGCTGATGCATGTGGCAGGCCTGATACTCAGAACCTAAGAAATTAAAAATCTTACAAGAAAAACTTTTTGTAATTCAAGTTTTAACATACATTATCAATAGTTTTATTTGAAATCTAGTATACAGATGGTATTCCTTACCCTCCAACTTTTGTCTAGAACAACATTGAGTTCGGATTGAGCCAAAAAAGCCAAACCACCTGTAGTATGGCCTGTTAGTTCCACAATGTGCCGTAGATCTAAAGTGGACTTCAAGGCTACTGAGTAGTCATTTAATAAATATTTAGCATCATCAAATGGTGCCACACCAACTTTGAATATACTCTCATCTTCTAGAAGCTCCTGGAAGTTAAAAAAAAAAGAAAACCATACATTTTTGTTTTCCAGTTCATATTCACTTAATTAACAAGTAAAGTGATTTATATCTATACTAATAATATAAAGAAGAAAGATTTATATTTTTGTATGTATTGAAATAACTCAAAATCTACTGGGCCGATTTCAAAAATTCATTTACCATTAAAAAGCTATGTTATCGCTGAGTTACATAGGCTATAATTTACATTTCAGGTGGACGAAGTTGCGAGCAACTTCTAGTGCATAATAATTTAGTTACTTAAAAATTTTCAAACCTTTAAAGAGCTGGGTAAAGTCTTTAAATGACTAAGTCGGAACAAACCGCAGTAACCATCATAGGAAGAGAGCTGAACCAAAGCAACAGGTTGTCTTCTGCCCTGGTTTGTAACCCATTCGCAATCAAAACCAATGGCTTTATGAAGTCCTATTCTCCTGAAAAACATTTCAAATTATACAATACTTGTTATCATTCTTGTCAAATGCTTGAGATAAAGAACTGACTTCACTGAAATTATAAACTAGTTACCTGCGTAATTCATTTATAACTTCATTGCAGGACTCTTCTGTGTTCACTGTTCTAATTGTTAAGTAGTTAAGAGCATCGACTGCATTTCTTTTTCTTAGTTTATATTTGAACACCAGTAAAGTAGCACCGGCAAAACCGACAGCTAGAGCCGTAGAGGTTACAACTGTTTTGAACTTTAAATATGTATCCATGACAATAACAACAATTAGTTAACAGTTAATCTTAAAATTGTAATAAAACATGTTAGAAATTGTGCATTTCACAATAATAATGCTTCATCCACAGCATGCAATACAATCATCTGTTGACAAACAACTGACAGTGACAGCTGACAACACGGCGTGCAACAATCAACAAATTGAGTTTGATAAGGGATAAAAATTAGTAGTCTATCGATTATTGCATTAAATATCTGTATTCTGTCATTTTGCTGTTATCTGTTACATCAAATTGTCATCAATTGTCATATTGTTGTTTCCCATCTTGCGTATCTTTTAAGAAATAAGTTACTAGCACAACTTTATATTACTCATGTAAAAGGTAAAGTACATATTTTACATAATTGAATATGGCAAGGGACAGAAGTCCAGAGCGGAGGCGATCACGCTCTAGAGAAAGACGAGAAAGGGATCGTCACGACGATCGGGAATCTTACCGGGACAAAACCAAACGCCGAGAAAGATCAAGAAGTCCACGAAAAGAGCGAGATAGGTCTCGTAGTCCTCAAAGGAAGGAAAGGGATCGTTCCAGGAGTCCTCGTAAAGATCGGGAACGTTCCAAAAGTCCATCTCGTAGAGAACGCGGGCGGTCTCGAAGTCCTAAAAAACGTGATGGCAAAGAGAAATATGAAAAGGAAAAGCGGCACGATGACAAAGCCAAGGATAAGAAAGATGACGATAAAAAAAATGGCGATGACAAGCCTGAGGTAGTGGAAGAGGAACCAAAACCTGTTAAGAAGGAACCATTATCATTGGAAGAACTGCTTGCTAAAAAGAAAGCAGAAGAAGAGGCTAGAAGTAAACCCGTTTTTCTAACAAAAGAGCAGAGAGCTGCATTAGCATTGGAGAGGAGACGGGAACAAGTGGAAGCTATGAAGGCTAATGTCGAAAGACCTACCATAACAACAATTGACCTGACTGGACCTTCGGCGCCTTCTAAAAAGGATGAAGATAGAAAGTACAGGGAGGAAAGAGAAAAAGAGCGCGAGAGGGAGAGGGAACGTAAATATGAAGACAGGAAAAATGCATCTGACAGAAGAGATGATAAAAAAGAAAAAAATGATGATGTATCTAAAAATAAAGATAAGGAAAGAGAAGAAGAAGCTATCAAGGCACGCTACTTAGGCATAATTAAAAAGAAGCGTAGAGTTCGAAGGCTTAATGACAGGAAATTTGTTTTTGATTGGGATGCATCAGAGGACACTTCAAATGACTACAATGCTTTGTATAAAGAAAGACATCAAGTACAATTTTTCGGTCGTGGACATATTGCAGGTATTGATATTAAAGCACAGAAAAAAGATCATAGCAAGTTCTATGGAAACCTGTTGGAGAAACGCAGAACTGAATTAGAGAAGGAACAGGAAAAGTTGAGATTAAAGAAGGTTAAAAAGAAGGAAGACAAACAAAAATGGGATGACAGGCACTGGTCTGAAAAAGATCAGGATGAAATGACAGAGAGAGATTGGCGTATATTCAGGGAGGATTATAATATCACTATCAAAGGTGGAAAAATCCCTAACCCTATAAGGTCTTGGAAGGAAGCAGGCTTCCATCAAGATATAATGGAAATTATTAATAAAGTTGGATACAAAAGTCCCACACCTATCCAGAGACAAGCTATACCCATCGGATTACAAAACCGTGATATCATTGGTGTTGCTGAAACAGGTTCTGGAAAAACACTTGCATTCCTTATACCTTTACTCACTTGGATTCAATCTTTACCAAAAAGTGAGCGAATGGAAGATGCTGATCAAGGACCTTACGCAATTATTTTAGCCCCAACTCGTGAGTTGGCCCAACAGATTGAAGAAGAGACAAATAAATTTGGTATCCCTCTCGGTATTACATCAGTGGTAGTTGTGGGTGGTCTATCTCGTGAGGAACAAGGTTTCAAACTAAGATTAGGTTGCGAGATTGTAATAGCCACGCCAGGTCGTTTAATTGATGTACTAGAGAATAGATATTTAGTTCTAAACCGTTGCACTTACGTTGTTCTTGATGAGGCAGATCGTATGATTGACATGGGTTTTGAACCAGATGTACAAAAGATTCTAGAATATATGCCTGTTTCTAATATCAAGCCTGATACAGATGCAGCTGAGGATGCCGCAGTCCTACTGGCAAATTATAACACGAAAAAGAAGTATAGACAAACTGTGATGTTCACAGCAACTATGCCTCCTGCAGTAGAACGTTTGGCAAGAAGCTATTTGAGAAGACCTGCAATTGTATACATTGGTTCAGTAGGCAAGCCAGTAGACAGAACTGAGCAAGTAGTGTTCATGATCGGCGAAAGTGAGAAGCGTAGGAAGTTAACAGAGATACTACAGCGAGGCGTCGAACCGCCAATAATAATATTCGTTAACCAGAAAAAAGGTGCCGATGTGCTTGCAAAAGGCCTCGAAAAGCTTGGTTTCAATGCCTGTACATTACACGGTGGAAAAGGTCAAGAACAACGTGACTTTGCATTGGCTAGTCTTAAAAATGGTTCTAAAGACATTCTGGTGGCTACAGATGTTGCTGGTCGAGGTATTGATATTAAGGATGTTAGTATAGTAATAAACTACGATATGGCGAAAACTATCGAAGATTATACACATCGTATCGGTCGTACAGGTCGTGCTGGCAAAACTGGAAAGGCTATTTCTTTTGTTACTAAGGAAGATTCCGCTGTGTTCTATGATCTAAAGCAAGTGTTGCTCTCCAGTTCAGTTTCCACATGTCCTCCTGAATTGATGAACCATCCAGAGGCACAACATAAACCAGGGACTGTTGTCACCAAAAAGAGAAGGGAGGAAATGATTTTCGCCTAAATCGTATTCGTAATTTTATTAATGCTCATTAAAACTGAATTGTAAAATTACAAAAAGCATTTTGAACAACTTTGTATTTCATATTTTACACAGAAATAAATAATAAGTAGTGTTGTGGACAGCACATTGTTCTGATTCTTCCCAATTTCTGAAAAAGAAAACATGAATAAGTTTATTCTTTTTTATAATCAAAAAATTGAAATACATATATGCACTTTCTTTTATAGTTTTTCTTTCATTTTGCTAAATCAAAGTTCTCAACAATTTTATAACATACATATTATATTGGTCTTGTTTTATATTAATGGAAACAGATGTTTATGTACTTACATTAAACACTTTGATTATCTACATTACTTTCACGAAAATCTGGAAAAAGATCAATGATTAATTTCGTATAACAAATTATAAAAAATAAATTACACACCCAAAAGCCAACAATAAACAAAATGATAAAAATAGTTATGAAAAAAAGAATCTCAGCATTACAGATAAGCAAAAAAAATCAAAGCAAGATAAGCTCCCCTGACCCTATAAATGATTTGGATTTTTTCACTTGAGAAATTCAATTAAAATAAATAGGTTTAAAACAGATGGTATTTATCAATGCATAAAAAAGGAGGGAGAAGCAGAATAAACAAAAAGAAAATAATGTTGAACAAATGCAACAGAAAAACGAAATAAGCAGAAGGAAGGTTAGAAATGATGCACACCCAGGTAACTTATACAGTTTATACCTATTCTTTACTTTCTGATGATTTGTCATCAGCTGCATCCTTCGAAGGAGGGGGCATAACAGCCTGTTTTGCCGACACAGCTAATGAAACTGTCAAATCAATGAATTCAGAGAAATTCTTGGGCAACGACAAGTCAGGGAATTTCACTTCCAGCTGTGGGTCTCCTGGTTTCACTGGTAATTAAATTCACAAATTAATCAAAATTCTACTGTACAGTATTCTTTTCTACACTTACATACTTTGTAAAATGTACTAACCACCATAAAGGAAGTTGTAAGCAATATTGATGTATTGTTTGGCTAAGGCTTTGTTACTCTTGGCCAATTCCTTTGTCTCTTCAGGGAAACAGATTGCTCCCATTGCTGTTGTACCAATACCCGCATAAAATACCCTCTGAAATAATAAAGTGAAGCTGTTCAATTATAACACATATTTAAATTAACATAACTGACTGTATTTTTTTTAATTTGAAAAGGTATTGCAGAATATAATATCATTACCACTGGTATGAATACCATTAATAAAAAAAAGCAAATGTGTACTCACTCTAATAATACCTCCTCGAAGTCCAAATATAAATCCTGTTAAGCCACCCATTACCACAGCCCCATAGCGTATGTCTTTGTTATCTTCCTCTCTTAAATACTTGACAATCCCTAGTAATCAAGATTCTTAAATTAAAAAGTTCTTTATAAAATATGCAATTGCTTAATTTGTAGGAAACATACTCACAATCAGTTCTGTCCCTGAATTCATGGTAATTATCTTGCACTGTATGCATAAGTGATTCGGTGTGTGCAATACCAATTTCTGCTGTCTCTCGCACAGCTTGAACTGGTGGTTGTAGCACTGATCTTACGTAGCTGCTCTTATTTGAGTCAGATAATGACCGAACATATCTGTAAGAGAAATTTTACATTACCTGCTGTTTACTTAATCGTTTATTGTGTTATGTCGCTGATTATACGTACTCTCCGTATTCGGCGTGTGGTGCCTCATATATCGGAAGGTCAGAGGGTCTCATCGGTGGTGGTTTCAATGGTTCTCCAGCTTTTTCTTGAACAGGAGTCGCGGCGCTAACCGTTGGTATAAGAGCGACCACTCCGGCAGTCCCTATCGCCACTTTCCTCAGCATCTTTGGTAGTAAAGATTCGAATTTAGTTGTCGAAAATAATTGAACTAGTAAGAATAAGATTGTTATGTTGAAACCATCAGATACCTTGAATGAAATTGATAATTAATCAAAATTACATAAAAATTTAATATAACGACAAGTTCGCTTAATCAGCTGGTCGACTTGACACCTGTCAAATTTACATTGGTTACATAATAAAAAAGAACAGATAAAAACGACAATTCTATCTTTTACATATTTTAGATACGGATATAATTACACGTTTCATATTAGTAGTCAGGGCATCTACATAATTTATACACAAAAGTAAAATAAATGGTAAAAGGGAGTTAATAAAAGTTATTGTTGTTTGAAACGTTTGACAACTAATTTATTGGTCTGGTAACACATCGATCCGTGTCATTTTCCATTTCAAATTCTCTGTCTTTGTCTTTGTCTTGCCTTGTCTACATTTTAGATAGTTCGCCTCATCTGTCACTATTTTTCTTCGGATTTGGATAATAATTATCTTTTCTTCTAATAATATAGTTTTCATGCACGTTTATTGTAAATTAAATATATTTTCCTTTGTATTAAATTTGGTGCAACGACTTTTCCCTTTGTAAATATTGTACATCTATATCAGTGAAATTACATATATTGTGAAACGGATGAAAATAACGTGATTGTGAGTACGATATAGAAAAATCAAACTTGTTATTTTAAAAACGGTAATTGGTGTTAAAGTTATTAATATTTCTGTTTAAATTGGCTTTGTAACCGAGTTATATTAAAAATGTCCGGAGTGTGCGCTGGTCGCGTGCCTAAGCGCCTGAGAGCTCATCGTATGAAGAGGCGGTCAGGTAAGCGAAGGCCCGCATGATGGTGCTTCGCCGCAGTTGGCACAGAGCGCGGGAACTGAATTGCTTGAAGACTTTAGTTTAGTTTGCTTCTGGTCGAAACTCATTATGAAGGTTCCATTGTTAATTTTACTAGTCATTCAGTAAACATTTCCATCATATTTCATGTATAGGGGGATATTTCGAAAGTCTAACTTCCAGCATTGCAATGAAACTTCCATGTCCGTCTTATTTAATTTTAAACATCTCTTCCATTTACATGATAATTATGGATTCCCTTCCGTATACAACTCTATGTAGGGTTGCAACATTTTTTCCTGAACCAATCTACCACATTCATCATTTCAGTCACCACTCTCTTGGCTCCTTCACACAATCTATCTCGTCATTGTTCATTGTCATGTTTTACATTATATGCTGTTATATGGAGCCTTCAAATGAGCACATATTTCAGTTGATCTGCCTTCTAACGAGAGTGTGTGATTTACTAACAAATGACTTGCATTGATCCAGGATGTAAGGTGCATGATGAATAGAGTGATGAACACTTAACTCCACCTCTAAGGGGCCACATTACCACATGGCTGAGGAACTTTGGAATGAAATGGTACACATACTTATTGATTATTCTTATTTCTTGTTTTGGTCAGTAAATATTTGCACTATAGCAGGTATGGCAAACCAATGACAACATTCGGTCACTTTCTCATTTACTCCAAAAAAATTGAAAAACAGGTATGATATGAGATGAGGATGTGAGTGATCCTTATGCTGTGGAATATACTATTCTAGAATATTTCATGGCATCTATATGACTTAACTAAATATTTCTTCTAAAAAATGACATGTCAAATAAAGGTTTGCCACCCCTGCATGTTAACAAACTTGGGATAAAGTCATATAAATCAATAATTACAAATTGGTTTTCTATACTATGTAATCAACTCAAAACAATTTATTAACTCTTTCGTAACTTTTTTATTTACCTATTGTAACAGTTTCGGATTTTGTACATATAGGTTTATGATAATTATAGTTTACCCTCAATTTATTTTCTGTAAGTCATTGTGTATTATCTTACTGTGTAAGCACAGATATGATTATGATTTCTTCAATGGCTGTTCTAAAAGCTTATATAAATACAAACATCTTCATTGGTATATGAGCATATAACTGAGACTTGGGCACATGTGTATCATTTGAAATCTGTTATTTTATATCAATATAGTTATTGCATGTGATATTATTTATTTCTTTATTTAAATTAGGCTTATCAACATAATTACATGACATTCATTTATTTCTATTTAGTAATCCAAACTCGCATGGCATCATGTAACTACAATTACAGATAAACACATCTTGCTTCAAATACTTAACATGCATAAACAATGATTACATACAATATCCCTTATTTTATACAAGACAATTTTGTAATAAGTAAAAACAAAAAGTAATTTAGTTAAATTAAACAGCTGATTAAAGTTAGCTAATCGTAAACAAAAAAAACTATTATCTAAATATTAAATTTAAACATAATTTATGTATTGTGTATAATTAAATTCTGGAGGTATTTGACACTTAAATAGATACTAGATTAAAAAAAAGTGTATTTGCCAACGTTGTTGAAATTTAAATGCCATTCAACTATCACTTTGTGGAACAAAAGTGTACAGTTTTTCGTATATTGTTGTTTTTGTGTCCATACTATTGTGTTTTATTTGTCTTGTATTTGACCTTCAGTGTTATCTATTTCTGTTCTTTTATTCAAGTATGAGTTAACATTCTTATAAAAAATTGAGACAAAAAAAAGTACAAACTATTTCTATGAATCTTATTTTTAGTTTGAGAAATAAGAATAAATGGAAAATCACCAACTTTTCCACTTTTGTAGCTAAAAATACAATTAAAGAGTCCGGAATTCTCTGTTCCTGGCTTAACCTCTGAGGCGAGCAAAGCCAAACACTTTTTTCTGCTTCATAGCACTTTTGACACCCTTGTAACTTAATTATGAATATTTTCTGTTACAATCAAATGTATTCTCTCAGCCACTGCATAATAACTTTACTATTCTCTGTGTATTTCTTTGACGTCTTGTAATTATTTGCAGTGAGACCAATTCAATACAATGATTGTGTGAACAGAAGACGAACGTTTTACGTCACTACTTCATTATGAGGCAATTATAATCAGATTTGAAAGGAAACAGTTTGAAGTGAACATTAACATAACAATGATGGCAGACGGAGTGATTACGTCCTTTGCTAAATACGTCCCACAACAAAACATGCTTTGTGTTAGTGAAAATTAACGTTCGATGCATTCACTTGCGTTATCAATAGGGCTGCCTACAAACTGATGACGACCTGTAATTTATGAACCGAAATATGCTCATTTTTTTTCAGTATGGGTATGAATGTACCATATGTACATAGACATCACTGTAACTAAACATGTATGTACGCGGGTTCATAATAGTTCAAAAAACATTAGTTTCGTCATAAATTGTACGTAGACAATCTATGTCATTACCAAAATTATTGGAGAAATATTTTAATCTCAGTGAAAGGTTATACCTATATTGATAAACCTATATTGTTGAGCCAATATCGTAATGAATGTTGCTCTACGTACCGAGTTACCGAGCCTATTTTTATAGCTCCCCTGCGGATAAAACTATCTAGTTTATCACTGTTATTCTGTGCGTACACACTTCTAGTACACTATTCATTGATTACACAACTGATAAGACACTGCCTGTTTATAAAGTTGTTATAGGAATATAATTAAATTTATATTAAAACGACGGGTGATATGATTATTTTGACCGCATGTTAATGAGTTTTTTTAATTGCTACGTTTAACAGAGGTACCCAGATATTTTTTCCCAGGCGCATGTAGAATTCTCGTTTAGTGTTCCCAGCAGTTCCAGATCTTTTTCAAGTTTTAAATCTCGCCCGATTTTCAGCCATCGTACTACTCCGTCGTTTCTCGCTGACACCAGGGGATTATATGGATCAGAAAAAAAACATCCAATGCTAAAATAAGACGAACTTTCTAGAATTACCACGACATTGGCGCCGGTCCTTAAACATGTCTTGCCGTTCTCGAATCTGCGATAAATCACTAAAGAATCCTTTTGGATTTCACGTACAGTAAGAGCGTTTAAAGATGATTTATTTAATTTTAATAATGTATCATCGTTGGCTATGTCAAGGTAACGTTGAGCCATGACGTAAAGTGGACGTGACCTAGTAATTAAAGATAATGTACGTATGCTTTAGTATATTGTGCGGTCTATCATTACCGAACCTAATGAGTTTCATAAAACGTATCTACATATGCTATCATATTACGGTTTAGAAATAGACTTACGTGTACCGTACAATTTGTATGGTAAAGCCAATAGCAAACCGATGATTGCATGGATTACAGTTATTTACTCTGTTAGTACTTATTATTGCTATCAATTTGTAAAGCAAATAGAATATGGTGCAATCAAAATCATTAGAAACATTGTTATGAAAGCAAATATGAAATTGTTTTAAAGATAATGGATAAATTGCGTGATAATTACTATGGAATGCGTTTGTTGGCCTAAATAGTCAATGAACGATTACACTTTCTCGTTTAAAATATTAAAAGTAAATAAAATAATAAAACGTTTTCGTTTCGACCGTTACTTTTAAACAAAACAATATTCTTCCAATCTGTCAATGTAATGGCGCGAAAAGTGGACGCGACCATAGATTAATAATTCAATATCATAGATACAATAGATAATTGTTTGACGACCGGAATAGCGATAACGCTATTACGAACAACTATGTTTACTAATACTTTAATTATATTTTTTTATGATATTCCAGTGCTGAGAATGATGGCAATAATGCAGGACAGGAACAGTGAGGAGGTGCCTCGCGAGTTCTTGGAGACGGGTCGGACTGGACGGAGGAACGCCATGCCTGATATACTGCACCCTCAGGGTGCCGAGATGACGACGGCAGACCTACCGTCACGGTTGCAACAGCTGGCCACTACTGGTAAGTCTTCTCAAGAAAAAATATCATAAAAAATTAACGGAAAATTTTACTTTCTAAGGCTTAACAAGTGTAGAATTTTCTGATTAGCGTTATGTGTTTTAAAACATTTATAATGGTAGGTGTTGTTTTCATACCACAGTTATTTGCAACATCTGGTGAGATACGTCATCGCCTCTAGGTCGTCCACTTTAAGCCGAAAAATGTCAACAACTTTAGCGATGAATCTTTTAAAAAGTATTTTAAAATAGGAATGATGTAAAGTAACGAAAAAAATTCAACGGCTATATATAAGAATGTTGTATAGAAATAATAAACCGAATCAACTCCTTTTTTAGTTTGTTTGGTCCAAAGATATTGCGGTAAAAAGAGGATTTTTTTCTATGTTGATGTGACACATTTCGTTCGAACGATTAGGGTCGGTCGGAAATTAACAAAACCGACCTTATCTCTATTGGACCGCGACCAACGCGTGCTTCAATGACGTGACAAATTGAGCTATACCACGCTCCCTTCTTACGTATCGGGTCACGTGGAAATTCTAGAATAATATTTCCTTATTGGTCGATATTAATATGTTTCTTGAGAACTTTTGCTTTTACCCCTTTGCTTCTAATGATTAAATAGGTCTCCTTTCGCTTTGTATTATTTATTCAGTACTACAAATGGTTACATAATTATCAGTGGTAGAACCCGATTTAACATCTTCGCACGAATGGGTCGGCTCGCCCGGTGCATTACCACGACAACACAGAAGACAGGCGTGAAGCGCAAGCTATGCCGCGTTTTGGCTGATGGCCAGAGGCCCAATGTTAGTCCTTTTTCCGTACCACTCTTTTCTTATAAGGAAAGGATTCGATCGGCAAGTGGATTTGACGGTGGAGGAAAATCATAAGAAGGGGAAAAATCCTCTTTATGTGCGTCACCTCCTCCGTCGATTTAGAGTAGGCAACGTATCTGCAATTGCGGATGTCTATGGGCAATGGTCGCTTCGCCATTTTGGCGGATTTAGGTGGCCGCTTGCTCGTTTGCCACCTTATTGTATAAAAAAAATGGGTTTGTAATGGAAACATGTACCGCTGCAATTTGTGGCATGGTTAACTCTATTATATGTTGACTCCGTAGCCGCGTGTTTGTATAAAACGAACCCTTATTTACGCGGCTAATCAGGTCAATAGTTCCTATGAGATACATAATGGGTCCAATCAAATCGACCGTGTACTACACAATGTTTACACAACTAGAGCGGTGAATTTTTACTCTGTACATTTATTTTCATAGAATAGATTTCGTCTTCTTATTTTTACTCTATGGTCAGATTTTCGCCGAAATCTTTGTTCGTTAAGTTCTGAACTAATAAATTTATTAGCGTTTTTTGCGAACGATTGTCGGTCAATCAATAATAATATTGCATTGCAAATATTTTTAATTAAACGCCTAATCTTATCTCTAGTGTATTACGATTACTTTATATTAATACTGACGTTTATAGCCCTTACAATTTTAATATAGTGTGCTTAAATGTGCCCATTATATTGCTATGTAAGAGCACCATACGAAATTCACTTTTTAAAAATTTGCTAACTCTGCCGACGTCTAACAAAGGATTAATACTTATGTTCCTTAGTGAAGGCTTAAAACTAAAGGGCGAAGCGTGGCAATATGTTTGCGAAGAACATATGTTTTTAACTTTTGATTTTCTTTGTCTTAATATGAGCGGGCGAACACCTACTAAACTATCGCACAACTGTTGTGCGATTTTAGATTATCAATTTTCGCAGCCAATTCAACTGTTTAGTTGCACGAGTATCATAAAAATCTAAAAGCGTGCGCACCAAAGCGTGAATAAACAGTTGTGTGATGGTTTAGTACAAAGTATGCTCGCACTCTTTCTATTAATTTAGATTTAACGATACAAAATACACCTACGAAATGTTTAAGATATTCGACGTACGGACGTTCGTGTATCGTAAAGTCTACGTAAATAGCTGATACTGAAATAATATTTAGCGACGTAAATCGGGCGCGATGATCGCGTCTTGCGTCACTACACTAATCTGTAACTTATCGGTCAACGCTGAGACAACATGCGCACATGGCTTAGTGACGAATCTGTTTTGACTGATCTGATCCTAAGATAATTTTGAAGTCAACTTTTAATATTGACATTGTATTTCGAATTGTATAGATAATAGCAAATAATATTGTTTTAAATTTTAATCTATCTCTGTACTAATAAAGAGGAAAGGTTTATATTTTTGGAATTTTGTATGTATTGAAATAACTCTAAACTACTGGGCCGATTTTAAAAATTCTTTCACTATTAAAAAGCTTCGTTATCACTGAGTAACATTGGCTATTTTTTAAATCACGTATACAAAGTCGCGAGCAACAGCTGTAGTTAAATAAGTAACTTTGATTTACCTTTTTTGTATCGCCCTTTGAAGTTCTTAACAGTGGAATTCGTTTTTTTTGTAATAAACTTTTTGTACAGATATTTCTGTGTCGGACTTACGTTTACAAATAAAAATAACAATAAACAAACTCCCAGGAGAGACAATTGACGTATATTTGTTTATTTAATTGCAAATTTTATTTCTTCCAGATCCAGAGCACCCGCAGCCGAGTACATCGAAGAATGATCTCGAAGCGTCCAAAGACGATCAAACGAGTAAAAGTAACTGCAGTTGAGCTCGCACAAGGTCGCAGTCTGGACTTGCCCAAAGTTGAAGTAATCTCAAAAAGGTAAATAGAAATCCTAAGCACTGAACATAGTGTAGGCCCACCTTTTTGTAGGAAGGTATAGTGTACAAATATAGCTCTAATGATGATACTTTCTACGGTGTCTAGCTCTAGTTATAAATGCTACGTGTAATTTAATTTGTACTAATTTGTAAAAAATTATTTGAATAAAAAGTAAGACGTTTTTGTCAATTTTTGTCTATGGTATGTTTATACTTTTTTATTGTCTATGAATTCAGCTCCCAATGGCACAAAATAAACATTATTATTAGTACTAATTTATCTCATTAAATTGATTAAGTTTACCTTTGAAGATGCTATTTAGTTATAAAGTTTTTAAGTGTCTTATAAATGTTAAAATAAAATTATTTGCTCCTTTCTCTGCGATGCTTGTTATAGCGACAAAAATATTATTTTAATAACTGATGAGGCTATTAACTAAGAAAATGGTGATATGTTGCAAAGCATCGAAGCAATTGTTTTACCTTGGTTGTGAGTGTGTACGAAAAGTTTGTGTTCTGTCATGTTTAGTCTCTACGAGACTTATTGACCAAATACATCGAATCTTTGTTATATAGCATCGTTGTTTAGTTTTATTTTACTTTAGTTTTTAGGCTATATTAAATGGCTGTAAAAAACAACTGTCGTAGTATCCATATACTTTTTGTTTCTAAGCAATGACAGTCCAATTTTAAACCTGCAAAGAATTTGAGGTTATTTTATATTAAGTATGCTTAAGCAACTTAATTTGTGACTTTTTAATGTTTCGAAAAGGAAATACTTAAAGAGAATTTAATATATAACTAAATTTGGTAGTTTTGGATATTACGATTAATCGATGCATCAGTTAAGATAAGATGAAAAACCTTTGTTAACCCATCCATAGCTTTGGTGCTATATTTTTTACAAAGCTACAATTACTTGTGATCTTTTTAAGATCTTAACGTAAGATTTCGTTCAAATTAATCTATATGGTCAATTTGACCATAACATAACTAACAATTTACGTGCACAAATGTAGCAGAATTGGTTACGCATAATATTTAGACTAATAAACCAATAATAACCACACCTTTTGTTGAACAATTTATTGGTTAATTTTTGATATGATTAAGTGCTGTTACGTTTGTTTGTATGTGACAAAATGAGGCATTATAATACATGTCAATTATAAATTAGTACATAGAACATTTATTCTATGGTAGAAAATAACTGAAAAACAAATAGTGATTGCAAGCTACATTCTTACCAGAGTCATAGGTGTGTTTGTAAAATCTTGGTGAGTCCTCAAAAATATATGGAATCTTAAACAATGATAACTTCACATACTATAAGCTTAATGTATTTGAAAGAGGAATCCATAAACTGTTATTAAAAGAGTTGGCTGTAAACTGAGTATATTTAAGGTCTCAAAAAGATTTATGTCAATTTGGAAATCCGATGTTAATGTATAATTATAAAGTCTAATACATATAATGTAAGTGATGTTATGTTCTTGCTTAACTGTTGCTTTATTTTGACCATAGACAAAACGGTGTTCATTAGAGTCCCAGCATAGTCCGTTTAATTAGATTTTTTTCAAGGAGTTTCTCATTTTTGCATTACTATCATCTGAAATTACTGAAATTACTGGCATTATATAATTGTAATTAGCATTAAAGCTATGTAGTAATTTTTGGTATTAAATATGTGTCCGTGTAGAGATTAAACGAAATAAGATTAGGTACAGGTAAAAATAATTGCGTGAATTAAGTTTTGTACGTTTATATGATGGTTTAGGAAAAAATAAGCTTGAAATCGATAAAAACTGTACATATCTGTAATAATGAACTTTGCAAAGTTGTTCTTGTTGTCTTAGTAGAATATATTTATTTTTAACGATGCTTTCAGACCATCTGAAGTAAGAAGTTAAATATAATAAATTGAATGTTTTGTACATTTTTATTTGAATGTTGGCACAAGTGATGCTGAACATAATCTATTCAAAATGTTTTGATGTTCGATTCTCTTGAATAAAAACCGTGATGAACGCGTTTTAGATTTTAGTTAATATTGAACCCAGAACATGAATGTATCCGCTAGCGGCTCTAAAGTTGGCTATGTTTGTTTACCATATTTATGTATATTAATATTTTATTAGATCTCATGATGTTTATTAAATATGAGTTTTGTTATTTCAATAGGATAAATAGTATTTTGTGTCTGAGTATATGGAATATTGTTTTGTAAAAAAATGTGTTATTATTTATGTTTGTAATTTATAGTTACAGTGAATTTCAATAATTGCTTAATGTAAATGTGATATAGCTTAAAACAATTCAGGTTGATTACAAACTCTTTTTTACCTATTGCATATTTCTTATTATAATTTGACTGCAAGTTTATTTGCATTGTTTAAAATTTCATAACACAACATATAGGCTTGATGTCAATACTCAAATGGGTAATTTAGAAAGAAAATCTAAACAAAAGTTATCTGGAGAAGTTTTTAGAAGCTAACACTACATTTGCATTCAGTGTTTTGTATTGCGATAAAACCTTCAAAGTGATCGTATTTTCTTGTCTTTATAATTACAGTTTTGAAATCGCAAATACTGGAATGGTTTTTGTATTTGATTTGTTACAAATATATAAATATAATAAAACAGTATTGTATTGTATTATTTGATTTTACCTTTTTACTTAAGAAGAGTTGTTTGATGATGATCAGCATGCAAACGGCAATATAAATGAATACCATATAAAAGAGGTAAGGGTGTGCCAGAAACGCACCAAATGACAGTCCGTAATCACAATCTATGAATAATAGTCAAATCAAATCACAAGTTACTAAATGAAATCTATAACCATGCATTTCTACTGCCGAAAGTTTTCTAGTATAACGTGTTGTCATCTCTTTTTTTCAATGAGATGAAAGAGATGACATATATGCGTTTCAACAATGGAAACACATAGTAAAATGCTTGTTACTAAAAAAATTTAGAGTAAAACCAGACATGAAGATAAATAACTTTTTTGTCCAAATTTTGTTATTTATATTTTTAATAATTTATTAATTAACAAAATCTAAAAATTTTTACAATTTCTACCGTGAAACGAAACGCATGAGAAAGGTATTTGACAACCAGTCATCAAAGAATTTCGCATGTGGCAACTTGTGTCAACTGGCAACATTAGTTTGATGATTGATGTTTCACGTACGGATGTAGAGAAAGTAATTTGTGATTTTTCCAAGTTTATCTCGTTTATACGTGAAATGATCATTTCCGTGTCGTGAGAAATGCTCTTATTGCTATTTAGAGTCAATCGCGAACGTGAAATAAAAAGTGTTATAACGTCAAAATGTTGGGAGACCGCTATGACTGATCGTCTTTACCGTGGCTGTTTATAGTGTTTTTATGAGTGTGTTTAAAAGTCAATGGGAAGGATGCCGAGGGGAGAACACAGGCCTAGCACCCTGTTGTCGCGGGATGAGAACGAACAGGTGTTCAGCCTCATTGGACCTAAGTGCCAGGTAGGTCAATATGTACCGCGTCCTTCCTCGTGATTCAGTCAATAGATTAGACATTATCTCGTACTTTATCGAGGATTTTTGTTGATACGGCGACGATAAGCGTATACGTTTTTGATAAAATTGATTTGTTCGATTGAAAAAGTTTTTAAATCACTTCGAAATACATATTATTATGAATTGAAAAAAATAAAATAAAGACTTCGTGCAAAGGGAACCTGATTGCCTTACTGCTTAACAGAATAAACATCTTTATTAAAAAAAAAAGTTCTGATTATTGGAGCATATATCAGTAAACTGTAGTTTATTTAGTGTAGTTTTAAATAACAAAAGTCAAGACTGTGATATAATAAAAACAAAACAGTGTGAAGGCCACATATTTCACACTCCATTGTACATATCAATAACATTTTTTTCTAACAATTTAAATTTTATTGAACTATCTTTCATGCTCATTCTTATAATCTATCAAGTCATTCAAGTTTAAAATAAGCTAATATGGTATAATTTACAAATAATTAATATTTAAGGGTGCTTTTTTGACTGATGTTAAAGATAGACCATAGACTCATGACCATATATGACATTTCCAAGCCATCTTTTAATATTTTTTTTTAATAAATAACAAAATAACAGTTCAAAAAAATTTACTTCACTATAATTATGTTAGAAAAATATAACCATAAGTTTAAGTAAAGGTAACAGGTATAATATTACACAACATTGTGAATGATTAATGATGAATAACACAAAATGGTTAATAATAATTAATTGCACGTAATTTGGTTAATTTGACATAATTTAGTATTTTATTTTACTTTCATTAGTACATTTTTCCCTTCAACAATAAAATGTCTGTTTAATGATAAAAAATTATATTGTCTTTGAATTTAACTACTGTCCAGTAATCTGTGCGACTGTATATTGTAAAACCCTTTATAGCTATACATCAGAGATGTCTATGAATAGATACAAATGTGAATAAAAAATCTAAACAACAAAAATCTTCTAAATAGTGTTTCTCAAAGTTGTCCCAGCTTGTCTTATTTGTTCTAATTGTAAAGTATAAAAACTACTTAAATTTAAATGGTAGATTCTACATTTATCTATATATATACCTGTACATATTATAAAATTGGAGTGTCTGTAATATTAAAAGAAAAATTCCACCTTTCGGGAATACAATGTATTTGCATTGCTGATAATGAAAATTGCATTTAAAAAATTTTTGTCTGTCTGTCTGCCTGTCCGCAAGCTGCATTTTTTCTGGGTAATCGCTGAAATGGCTGGGCTGATTTAGACCGCACTTTCACTGAAGGGTAGCTGACATGGACAGACATATTATAGGCTACTTTTTATTATAATATTGTGAGGACTAAGTCGCAAGCAACAGCTGGTTTTAATTTACAATTTTTGCTCCTAACAGCTGTAATTGTATTTTAGTATCTCTTCTTAAGCATTAGTTCTTGTCTATTCATTTTATAATGCAGATGTGACAATTACATGAATAGAATCATTCAGTATATGAATGAGACTTACTCAGAAATGTATAATATAAAATAAATGGTTATTAAAACTCATTAAAAAACAATAAAATTATATAAACACAACTTTTATGATGTGTTATATAAATATATCCAGAGATGCTATCAAAGCAATTTCACTATATACTTGCAAGTACATAGCTTTGTGCAGTGAAAGTGCCATTTAAAATCTTGCTTTAAACTGTCTTGTATAACATTCTGTTTACAGCCTTATAAAAATGTTAACACATACACTGCCGGTCTCTAGGGAGTTCATACATGCATTTTTTCATACATTTATTTCATACTGCATTGTTACTTTTTTCAACATCAACAAATTGTAAACACAATGAACACCAATTGTCATATAAGTTCTGATTTTGTAATACATTGTATCATATAGTAATTGTTTATGTTCTTTATAGTTTTTGTACATAAAATGTTAGATTATCAATTCTCATTTAAAAATACTTAAACAAAAACTTATTTACTTTGAGTAGCATTGTCTTGTATTGTAACATTGTGCCTGGTAATGTCATTATTGCTGCTAACTTTGCAACATAAAACTCAACACTAAATAGCATTTACTTATCTTAACTCCTATTGCTAAGAAATAGATGGATGACTGCACAATTTGACACTCTTGTCATCAGATTGTTTACACCAAACTGTATCTCTACACCAAAAAAAACTAAAATTATCCTATACAGTTATAAAATTAAATTTGGATTGAAAATCAGCAAACCGTTACATTAAGTGCATATGGATGTTATGACAAGTTTTTTTTTTTGTCAAAGCCCTAAATGAGATTTTACCTACTGGTACTGGTAGGTAATTAAAATCCTCGACTGCACACCGCATTATAAGTGTTGTAGGGTAATTCAAATGTCCTAATATAATGAAACAGGATGGTAACCCAGTTACTTGCGTTTTCGAATTTCCTTTTCAATCAGTCATTTCCTGCGGCCGTTCGGAACTATTTAAATCGATACGAGCCGGAAATAACAAGTATAGTAAAACTACTGTTGCTAATTCTTGTAATGATTCGTTTTATCTAATTCGGTATTTCCACTAATCAGACATTTTTGGAATTTAAAACCTTATCTTATGACTGCGTATAAACTGACGACATATAATCGTTAGTGGCCGAAACACTCGTGAAAATTTGATGCTATCTCCATCTTTTTATAGAGACCTAGCTGTTGTCCACGACTTCGTCCGCGTGAAATAATAAAAAAATACCTATTACTTCCAGATAAATTCCCTTTCTAACGGTGAAAGAATTTTTAAAATCAGCCCAGTTTTTTTTTAGTTTTTCCAATACATACAAAAATACAAATGTTTCCTTTTCGTAATATTAGTATTGATGAGGTAGATAACATCTATTTAACGTATTTTTACTTGATATATGACAGTGGAAACCCACAGTAATGTGGGGACTTAGCTTTTGTGGCGGGATTTATCAACGGCATAAATTGTAGTTTACGTCTGTGAATGTAATTCAGATCCTTTTAAAAAATTCTGTCCTTATCCAAACGTCCATCCGTTGGTATTCTTAGCATAGTTTTTGTGGGAGTTAAAGAGGATTTTTTCATCCGCAGAGCTTAGCGACGGCCGTCGTTCAATTGTTCACGACAGAAGGACCCGCACATTCAGAATGGAAGAAGAAAGACACGGGTGTGCTTTGCCTCATCAAGGACAACGGCAGGCGGTCCTACTTCTTCCGCATTTATTGCCTGTACCGCAAAGCTATGATATGGGAACACGAAGTCTACCTCCAGATAGAATACAAAAGCCCAAGACCTTATCTACATACGTTTGAAGCTGAGGTGAGTCACTATAATTAGCAAATTCAAATAAATTATAGAGTGGACATTTGAAAATGTTCATATACAAATACCACTTTTACAGACGCGACACGTTTGTCCAACTGTTAATTTTTAAACTGTCATAAATAGTGATTGATTTATTAATAAAATAACAATATTTCATATTATATCATTACTTTCTCTTATTAAATTATGCTAACGACATAATGGTGACAAAATTCACGAAATAAAAATATCATTATACAGTAGAACCTCGATAAGTTAAAGTCCAAGGGAAGCACAAAATATTTTAAGTTATATAGGTTTTATGTTATCGAGGGTCTATGTTGTAGAGGTTTTGTATTATTTTTTGAAGTTAGAGAGTTTTTTGAGTTACCGAGGTTCTACTGTAACGGAGTTTATAGATTATACCAGGTGTTTATTTGAATATCGGTAATAGATTACATATAAAAAAATCTAAGAGACGCTGCACTCTACAGACTTATCTGCTGATATTTAAGTCAAGCGCTTAATCAATATGAACACGTACGGAGGTACGCACATTACACCGATTTTGACAGTAACACCCAATCAAAGTATGTTATCTACGGGTTCTGTGATTGTAAGCGTCTCTCTTGAGGCTCGATTTCGATTAGCTGTCACCGTATCTCGATTTATTAAAGTAAATTTGAACCTTGACACTTGAAATCGCCCAATTAACAATTTCGATAGTACAAGACTATGTGTATGAACAATTCCTGTAATTTTGCCTCTTCCTAGTCAATGTTTGAAATTGTTAAGATGTGGATTTTAATATGAGATATATAACTATAACATATCAATAAACAATGTATTGAAGCCATTCTAAGCGGGCGAAAACTCTATATTTAAATTATTTGTATATTGTGTGTGCATTAAGAATATTTTCCAACTATAAATATATTTTAAAATGGAGTGTTATTCCTAAAATAGAACGCAAATCTAATAAACTAGTACAAGCTTTGAAATACTGTCTTATATACGCAATATTTACATCGTGTATATGAGTACTTGTATGTGAATGCCATGGTTTCTTTATGTAGAAAGCAAGTATTTACATAACCATTTAATACGTGATACGATTACCATAGACATATGCAATACCAGTTAACTTCTAACCAGTAAGAAAGCGGTAATACTGATAAGGAACGCTGTTGAAAGAAATGGCAGTTACTGTATATTCTCTTCAGTAACTTTAACAACTTATAAAAATCAGTTTATTTATAATTTCTCTTAAAAAAAACTTATTTAAAACTACTGTTCCGTTTAATATTTTTATCGAACTTGTTTGATTAATCTATTATTACTTAAATGCTCTAGTAACACACATTTCTATATAATTATACAATGTTCGTGCAAAATTTTAATAGCCTAAGTAATTGCTTAATATGTCTGCGACGTGTTAATGCCCCTTTCACATGAAATCTAACAAGGTCGGTTCCTTCCGGTGGGGTCACGTCCATCCGTCAATCGGGTTCACATCCGACACATTGGATGGGACATTTACAATAAAAATGACACGATATTCTTGTAATGTTTAATAAATATACCGTGTGGAATATTTTTAGAATAAAAGTTGACTCATTCCCCTGTGACTATAAATTAGGCAATTTTAATTAATTTTTCTTCCGTTTTAAGACACCTTTTCCTTTTGATTTTTTTTATATGAATGTGATCCTGATATGTTAGCGTGCCGTGTGCCGTGTGCCGCACTAACGCCATTCACCGTTGTAACCTTATTCTTATTTTATCAATCAACTATTATCCAATGAATCATCTATAAACTATGAGCGTGTGATCAACATCGAGACGTCGAGAGTCGATTTAAAAACAAAAAAGGCCACCGACGTTCCTCGTTACGCAATATATCGCAAGAATGAGCAGCGCTCGGGTCGGATCGGCAGTTCATTGTTTTCTTCAGACTGACTGAACGTAACAGCTCATTTGAGTCGAGCTTTCTAATTCTGCGCCTGCGCCGCCTGCGATGGACAGGCGACGCTTACGTCACACCAGAGCTGTTATGTAAATCAGTTTTGGTGTGCCGACATGGACAATGCAAAAATATGCGCGTCTCGTACGCAAGACTTTGTCTACAGTTCATTATCATATTCGATGACACTTTGATCCTATGAGCAAGCAATTACTTGATATACGTCTAATACATCATTATGTATGTCTAATCTTACTTCTTACTAATATTATACTGCTAAAGTTTGGATGGATGGATGTTTGTTTGAGTTTGTAGTCTAAACTGCTGAACAGATCTCGATGAAATTTGGCATAGACGTAGAGGATAGTCTGGAAGAACACATAGGCTACTTTGTTTTTTTTTTTTAATTTCACGCGGACGGATCGCGGGCGAAAGCTAGTATTAATATAAACCATTAAGGTTTAAAGATATTGCCTAGTAACACTATAAAATATCCCATATGTAATTGACCAATCCCAAAACCGAATGGAAATCTCCCAAAGACCTCGAGGCCTTCAAGCTTCAAAAGTTTAACACTCATTACACTAGCTAGAAGGGCATATTAGCTTTTGTCCGCGACTTCGCGCGGAATTTTAACTTAATATGTGTGTTCTTCCAGATTATGTTCTACATCTGTGCCAAATAACATCTAGATCCGTTAAGCCGTTTTAGAGATACGTCATCAACATCCATACATTTATCTAAACTTTCAAATTTGTAATATTAGTATAATATTTCCTAGATAAACGCAAAAACGATACTATGTCTATAGATTTATATCGATATCTATTTTATAGCAAATAAACTGTTAATTGGAAAGTTTTATTTGCCATTTATGCTCTTAACAGGATACCACCTATAAAACCGGTGGTATGGAGTAAACTTATGTATAAACACACTTATCAGAAAAGTACTTAATGAAAGTCGATTCTCACAAATCTATTAATAATGGAAAACAAATTTTATAGTCGAAGCCCCTGTACAAACATAATGTTATCTCGATTTCCAAGAGAGAAAAAAATATGTCAATAGATATAAGAATTCTATACGATAATTATAAAAAACTAGCTCTCGCCCACGACTCCATCCGCTTGGAATAAAAAAAAAGTGAGTAGCCTATGGTCTTCCAGATTATAGTCTTCATCTATACCAAATTTCATTAGAATCCGTTCAGTTGTTTAGGCTACAAACTCTAACAAACATCTATCCATCTAAACTTTTGCATTTATGATGTAAGTATGACTGTGATGTAAAAAGGATCGCACATCTGGTAAACACTAAAAAGGGGACACTACACTATGACAATAAGACAGTATTAGTAGCAAATAAATATCAAACCAAATTCTATTAATTAGATCCAATGTTTTAACAAATGGTAATATCTATTTCAGGACTACATGACAGCGTTCAATTTCGCCAACGAAGATGAAGCCAGGATACTTAAAGATACGCTTATAGAGAAGATCGAATTACGGAAACAGAGACGACAAGGTAAGATTTATTGAACTAAAAGTAAAGCAATATCATAGTGCGATCCAAACTTTATAGCGGCTCGCAATTTTTAACACAACTTCCATGCTAAAGGAAGCGCTCACAAAGTTTGAACCTGATAATACTTTTTGGGGTCTTAATCTAATGAAGTAATGTAATTTACACCCGTGATTTTTTTGGGTTTTCTTTAAAATAAGCAATAGTAGTGTTCACTTATTGTTAGATTGAATTTTATAATACTGTGATTTCATCGTTCGTTGTTTTCGATAACTCGCATAATACACAACTGTTTACTAACAAATATCTCATACATAAACACGCGCACGCTGTTGTGCTACTGCCGAGCTCTTGATAAATACATCATCTTACGATTATAAAATGACTACGTAAAAACAAATGTCAATAGAGGTTTCCAAACACACCACTTTGAATATTATATGAACACCAAACTGACGAGAAATTATTGTTAACCCCTCATTTCTTTTTAAATAGCATTATTAATACATTTCGAATTTACTATCAGCTGGTAAACGATTCACGACAAAAAAATGTTCTTATATTCCGCCATCTTACGTGGTCATTGATGTACAGTCGGGGAAATCCGCGATGTTCCACTTACAGAAAAAAATTGCCTTATTGTTTATGACGAGACAAACTTCCTGCTACATCTTCAGACAAACAGGTAGCAGTAAGTTGCGCAAACGACAGAGTAATACCACAAAGCAGACGATTTAAAGACTGCGTCCTATTGGTTACTCCACGTTATCGTCTCTTAAACCACTATAGGTTTTGTTATGGATTCCCATATTGTAACAAAATGATTATACGTTGCAGAACGACGGCAGAAATCAATGATGGCGGCCCGCGTGAACAGCACGACTTCACAACGTTCTGTGCGACATAACGGCGTCGCGCCGCCAATGCCGGTCCCCTTACAGCCTCCAATGCCCACACCACAACCTGTTAAAGCACCTTCATTCTCAGGTAATAAATATAGGAGGCTTAGAACGTACGCACTCCTGAAACTAAACTATCGTACGACGATATGGAGGTGCGCACACTACTCGATTTTTAGTTGTGCAACTAAACAGTTGAGGCTGCGAAACAATCGACAATCACACAACAGATATGCCATAGTTTAGTCAAAGATGTGCGCACGCTCTCAATCTTTGACTATTATTTTTGACATATTTGACGACCCCTTATTATAAGTAAAAAATAATTATTATAGTATACAAGACATGTTGTTAATTCTCTTAGTAATGTTACGACTTATAAAAATGTTAATTTAATTATGTTTATTTCAGGTGGTAGTTACACATTGAAGAGCAAAAAGCCTAAAGGTCGGAAACTAACGAAAGCCGACATCGGTTCCCCGAAGGACTTCCAGCATATATCCCACGTCGGATGGGATGCTAACAAAGGTGACCTTGAAAGTTATACAATTAAGTGATCTTTCTAGATTTCGTAAATAAACATTGTAATTGTTAAAAACAGTTTCCTAACTGTTTTCTGTAGAAAATATTCCATAGAACATAGATCAAGAATCTAATACCAAATAGTTAGGACCTGTCCCACCAGCAGCTGATAGAGACTCAGATAGCTTAAAAATGACGTCACTATTAGATAAGGTAACAAAATCCGATATTTCCATCAGACACGTTGGATTGTTATCAGACAATTTACAATTTGATAGGACAGGCACTAAATGTTGTATTTGTTTTGACATACAGGTTTCGATGTGGACTTACCGGAAGAGGAGATGAGATCGTTCTTCTCGAAGGCGGGCATATCGGAGACACAACTTCAAGATCACGACACTATGGAGTTTGTGTACGACTTCATAAACTCGCACGGCGGCATCAACGCCGTCAAGGACGACCTGCACGACGCACCACGACTCAAAAGTAAATACATAATACTGAGTACATCTGTAGCGAATGCTAAAAAAGCTAAGTCCCATAGAGTTGACTTAATTCAGTTATCCACAGTCTAAAACACTAACTTAACGGCTTCAATTTGTATGTTAGTTTCTTCATATTCTAATATTATAAAGATGAAAGATTTGTATTTTTGTATGTATTGAAATAACGCAAAAACTACTAGGCTGATTTTGTAACTATTTTCACGATTAGAAAGGTAATTTATCACTGAATAACAGGCTACATTTTATATTATTCATTAATGTCACGTAGGCGAAGTCGCGGGCAACAGAAATTTAGATAAAATTGTTAATAATCTTGTTTATATGTATTTCAGATTCGATTCGTTCCCCCGCGCCGCAGTCTGCGCCC